TGAGTTGTCAGTATGTGGATGGTACTTGAAGCCATTGGAGTGGGGAAAATTTCTCAAGGAAGAACGTTAAAGTAAGAAGAGGAGAGAGGCCAAGGATAAAATCCTAAGAACACCATCATTGAAAGGAGGGAGGCGGGGTCAGAGGAACAGAAAATAAAAGACACTAGGACAAAATGTCCAGAGAATTAGAAGGAAAACAATGTCACAGAAACTGAGGGAAGAGAATCTTACAAAAAGGGGAAGGGGGAGAGATGCAAAATTACAGAATATTCAAGAACTAATAAAGCCTGGAGAATGTCCACAGAATTTAGCAACAAGGAAGGCATTGGGACGTTTTAGTGGAGTGATGAGAGTGGGAGCTATATTGTAGTGGAATGAAGGTAGGTGACAGGTGAGGAAATATAGATAGCAGAAACAGAAAAGGCTTTGAAGAAGCTTGGCTGTGAAGGAGAAGTGAGGAGATGGAGGCGAGGCTGGAGGGGGACGGGCTGAAGGAGGGTTACATAATATAGGAGCAATTTGAGCATGTTTAAATGTTGATGGAAAGAAGACAGGGAAGAAAAGGAGAGGGGTAAACAGAAGGAGCACAACCTCTGAGTCGGCAGGAAGGAGGGGACTCCACGCCTGGTGGGGTTTTCAGCCACCGTGTTGGGAGGGAAGGAAGAAAAGTTGGTTGTGCCTGCTAGTCAGTGTGTTGGTGTGGCAACCAAGAGGAGAAGGAATTCACATGATGGTTCTATTTTTTCTCTAAAGTTGGTAGGGAGATGATCTCCAGAGAGCAAGAAGGGAGGCAATATGACAGCAAGTTTGTGGAAATGGGAGAGAAAACTAATTAAGAATACATTGGTGGGGAGGGTTGAGGGCTGAGATGAGGTTGGAGACCAGCCCACTTATAGTTTCAATTTGTTGGTAATTTTACACACCAGTGCTCAGCCGAAGATGTAAGAGCCGAGGAGAAGAATGGCTTTACTGAACCTGGGCAGGTGTAATCAAGGAATTGTGGGCAAGAGAATTGATGTTGGGATGAGAGCGATTGAAAGGATGCCTGAGGGGGATTGAAGGTGACTAAGGGGAAGATTTAAGGCAGAATAGAGAACTCAAGGGTTTGATGGAGTTAAAGAACAGCATGCAGAAGTGAAACTGGGAAAGGCAGAGGGCCAAGGGGTGACCCACCAGAGGGGATATGCAAATTTATGATCTCAGAGGTGAAACAGTTCCCAATAATGACACATCCTGTGTGTCTAAAGTACAGAGGGAATGAGGTCAGTGAAGAGGCGGGGACAGTGAGCTTCTAGGATTTGAGATGGCTCATCCACATTAATAATGGAGGGAGGACTGGAGGTAGGGAATACTGTGAGTCTAGCAGTAGTGTCTTGATGAGAGAGGAGGAATGAGATAAAAAAAAAAAAAGATAAGGGTGAGGTAAACATGGATGAGTACTTGGGAAATCTCTAATGAACACATGAATACATGAACCAGTGAGTAAGGAATTGAATGAATGCATCAACTCAGACCGATCTGGTGTATTCTGGGAATATCTAGATATACATCCTGAGATGCCAGAGGAAACACTGGGCTCAGAGAAGGCAAGTTACTGGGAGTATATGGGTACAAATTATCTTGAGAGTTAAACAAAGATAATTCTTTTCTACCTCCTATTTATGATGCTATTTGAGCCCTCTAGACCTGCATAGGTTCAATATGATAATCACTTAGTGTAGTTACTTGAAATATGGCTAGTCTGAATTAAGATGTGCTGTTCACCTGAAACCCATGTTGGATTTCAAAAACTTAGCACCAATTTAAAAAACAAAAAACAAAACTACTTTTCATATGCTTTACTAGAGGCCCAGTGCATGAAATGTGTGTATTTGAGGGGTGACGGGGGTCCTGGGGGGGGTCTCTCTCTCACAGCCCAGGAGCCCTCAGGGGATGTCCAACTGATGGCTTAGGACCACTCCCCGCTGGCAGTCGGACATCCTTAGTACTGCTCCAGAGGAGTGAGAGGCTCCCACCACCACTGCGTTCACCAGCTGTGAGCCCATCTTCTAGCTGAGCAATGCTTCCTATTTGGGAGCGCATTGATCACCAGGGGGAAGCTCCTGCATTGAGTGTCTGCCCCTTGGTGGTCAGTGTGTGTCATAGCGACCGGTCATTCTGCTGTTTGGTCTATTTGCATATTAAGGTTTTATTATATAGGATTGATTTCAGAGAGAGGAAGGGAGAGGGAGAGATAGATATAAACATCAATGATGAGAGAGAACCATTGATTTCCTGTCTCCTGCACGCCTCCCCACTAGGGATCAAGCCTGCAGCCTGGGCATGTGTCCCAACTGGGAATTGAAACATGGCCTCCTGGTTCATAGGTTGACTCTCAACCACTGAGCCACACAAGTTGTGCCAAAAAAATATTTTCAGAACATAAAATATTCATTTAGAAATGTTGATGACATGAGCTTCATGTTAAATTTTTTTGATATATGGGGTTATATATATATGTCACCTTCTTTTTTCTTTATATGTGAGGCTACTAGAAAAATTTAAATTACATATCTGCTTCACATTATATTTCTCTTGGAAAGCACTACTCTAGGCCTTGGTCAGTAGCCTCTGAATTCCCAAGGAAAGCATTATGCCACCTTGACTACAATAAATAAAGGCAGTTCTCATATTGAATTTCTACATGTACCAGTTGGCAGAGTAAAATTTGAAATCTCAAAGCTTAAATTTCCTATATGCAGGAAATTTGCCTCTAAAAGAACATTTTAAATTCCTCAAAGAATTGCAAAACCTTCCACTTGTCCCATTAAATCGGTCTGCACCCTTGAAACCACTCAGCGGTGGACACAGAAGTTTATCATTGCTTCCACTGTTATCACAGTGAGGGTGAACTGCAGGGCTCATCCAGTCTCTCTTAGACTATTTCTGACATCATGAGGCTGCAGATGGTGTAGTTTATACTTGTAATTTTCTTTTGACTGGGGAAGCCTGTGTCTGCACTTCTGTAGGCCAAGTCTCCCTGGAATCTGTAGTCCTGGCTTGCTTAGCAATGCCATATTGCAGTCTGAAGGGCCCTTATTTCTGCCAGGGATGGTAGAAGATGACCCTCCACTATCAGTAGCCAGAGATGTTTTTGGCTTAAATTAAAAAATGTATATAACAGTAAACATTGAAAGCTTACCCTGAGCTGAGCACGGTGAGGTAACTAAGCCTCCAAGAGGTTAGGTTGACCTGAGAAGTTCCAAGGGTAGAAAGTGGCAGAGCCAGGACCTGGGCGCAGATGGTCTAACTCCAAAGCTTGTGATCCTTACATCATCCTACTCTTTCCAACAGACCGGATTGTGGATCTGGAAACAAAAGGAGACCAGCTGTTCTTCATTGGCCTCAGGAAAAGCCTTTGAAAGAACATGGCATCAATTAGCCTGACACCCATTTACTCATACATGCAATGAATAGCCAAGTGGAGGCTAGATCTGTCTGCAGATGTTCCAAAAATGTAATCAGAATAACTTGGTCAGTTTTTAAGGGCTCCACCTCAGACCTGATCAGAACCCCAGGAGTAGGATCTAGGAATTTTTATTTTTAAGACATTTTCCAAGTGGATAAGGAAACCCTAATTTCACAAAATGATAAAAACAGTTTCTAGATAATTACTTTGATTTAGGGTCTGGTTTGGAACTTGGATTTCTGGGTAACCATTGGGGCAAAATGGCAGGAAGGTACAAGGAAGGGCTATTTAAGCCACATCAGAGGAGTGGGCCTGATTTGGGGGGACCCTTAGGTCACATTTGTGTACTAGTTTCTAGACCTTCAGATCGCTTTTGGGGCTTTTGCTTCATGGGAGGCCAAGGCAGGCGTGCTGTTGCCTGAAGGCACACACTTCTCTGGAGCTAAATAAGGGAAAACAGCCAGAAAGCCACAATACTGACTCTTTCCTGCTTCCTCCTTTTAGCCTTTCAGTGTTAAGATGTATCCAGCTGGTCCTGGATCTGGTGACTCCCCAGAGGGCTTTCCAGAACAACCGAGGCTCCAGCCACAAATCGGAAACTGCACAGCTCAGACACTGGGTACTGAAATTGGTAGTATGTACAGTCCTTCCTTCCTCAGTGTGGTTGGGGCAGAAGACTCGGGTTGCAGAGTCGAGAAGAGAGAGGCACAGAGGTCTTTTGGGTAGCATAGAATTGCCAGGGGATCTGGCCTTCCTTTCATGACATGTGCTTTGTTCAGTCAACGAAGATGTAGTTAGCCCTACTATGTGCCCGACACTGTTGCACACACTAGAGAAATACCTCCATGAAAACCAGCCAAACAAACAACCAGACTTGGTCCCTGCCTGTCCTTGTGGAAACCCCCTTCCCCTTTCTTGACTCCCTCACCCATGGGACGTCCCCTTTTACCTAGACCAGGTATAAAGAGGATCCATTTTGACACAGGATGATGAAGGAGCCAAAGGTGTGGGCTCAGTTTGTGACCTAGAATCTGAGCTGGAGGAGACGGTAGAGTCAGGAAAAAGAAACACGGAGACCTCGCTCTTCCCTCTCTCTGGGCTGAGAAGGGTGACATTATGGAAGCCAGGGCTGGGTAAGGCCTTAGGAAACCCCAACTCCTCAGTGTACAGATGAGAAAACTGAAGGGCAGAGAAGGTACGGGGTGGACCCCAGTGAGGGGGCGGAAGTGAGAATAAAACCGTGTCCTCTGGGTTAACACTAGGGAGCCCACAGCGTGGCGTTTAGTAATTTCAAACTGCGGCGCTAGGAGGGCTTAGCGGAGTCGGAGGCGGGTCCATTGCCATGGGAACAGGCCCCGCCCCCCACCCACGCGGGTTCCACGGCCCCAATAAAGTTGTTGTTGAAGCTGAGCGTGGCCACGTGAGCCTTCCGGGGGGCGGAGTTGTGGGCGGAGCCTGAGGCGGGGCGGGGCGAGCCGGGGGGCGGGGCCTCTCTGAGAGCGACCGGCGGCTTCCGCGCGGAGGGAGGCGGACGCCGGCGGGGCGGCCGGCCATGATAGCGTCGTGCCTGTGCTACCTGCTGCTGCCGGCCGCGCGCCTGTGTCGCGCCCTCTCCCGCGCCCTCTCAGGTACTGGCCCCGCGTCCTTGCAGGCGGGAGCCGGGCCGGGGCAGGCCCCGCGGGGCCGAGGCGGCTTGCGGCGAGTCGGGCCTTACGACCTCCTTCCCTGGCAGTGCCCAGGGGTGGCGGGCGGCCCTCCCCCCTCTCCCCCCGGAGCCAGGCCTGGGCTCCAGGAGGCGCAGGCCCGGCCGGCGACCCCCGCGGACGGCCCCTCCTCACGCTGGCTGCGTGGGGCCGCAGTTAGCCCGGAGGCGGGCTGGGGAAGGGCAGAAGCCGCCTCTCCCAGGCCCGGGCTTGCAGAGCGGTTCCCGGGCCCGCCGGTCACTGCTGTGGGGGCTCGGAGAGGGTTGGCAACTCCGGGCCTAGGCGAATGCCCGAGTTCTCCGGGTAGGAAGGAGCCTGTCGGCCCCGGGTCAGTGGGCTGGAGACCTGTGTTCCCAGGGTCACTCCACAGTCAGTTTCCCCAGCGCCTCTCGGCTCTGCTCTCCGTGAAGGCTCCGGTGGAAAAACATGCTCAGCACCCAGAGCTGCGATCCACCCCAGCTCCGAAGCAGTCCCCGTGCGCTTAGGGATGTAGTGGGGTGGATGGAGGCAATGTCCAGTTGATTGCTGAGAAGAGAGTCTTTCACTTTCCATGAACCGCCTGCCTATTTTCATTCCTGGTCTTTAAGATTCCCGAGGCACTCAGAAATCCTATAGAACTCCCAGATTTCTCTGGCGATCAGGGGGGCAGGACAGGCTAACAAGCATGGTCTTAGAAATAAGGGTCCGACTGCATTGTGTGCCTTCCCTTCCTGGAATCCTTCCGCAGTGTGTTCACATGGAGGTCCGGTGCACACATATTACATAATATGTGTGTATTTCGTATAAGATGTTTGTTTCTGTCTGCTTTTAGAACGCAAGCTCCAGGAGGGAGGGTGGGATCACACCTGCTGTGTCTCTAGTGCCTTGTACACTCCTCAGAATATAGAGGGCACGCAATTTAGGAATGGCTCAGGTGTAGGCACTTCTGAGGAATGAGAAACGCCACAGAAGTAATTGTTTTCAGGGAGCTAAAGAATATCCCTTCAGCCATGTCTGTCATTCTGGACTGAAGTTTTAAGGGATCTCAGAGGAGAGTCCACCCCTCCCACCCCCATTAAAATAGCCCCAATGGTTTTAACTTTGTTATATGGTTTCTACATATTTTTAATTTTTTTTTAAATAAAAGGATTCTGCTGCTGAAACACAAACTACCACCATCATCAAAAAAACCTACTAAATTCGGAAACTAGTAACAGCCCACAGGTAAATCAAAGAACCTCTGCCATCTGTTACATATGGTTTTTTTTTAAGAGACTAAAACCAGCAACTCAGCCCATGGATTTGAAGCAGAGTTTTCCTGTCTCAGCACTATTGACATTTGGGCCTGGATAATTTGTTGTAGGGCTATCCTTTGCACTGTATGATGTTCAGCAGTCTCCTTCATCTCTAACCACCAGATGCCGTAGCATCCCCACAGCTGTGACAACTACAGTGTCTCCAGACAAGGCCAGATGTCCCCAAGACTGTTGAAAACCACTATTCACATAAAGGCCTGGTGCATGAAATTTGTGCATTGGTAGCATCCCTAGGCCTGGCTGGCAATCAGGGGTAACCTGCAGGGCCATCAGTGGGCCCTCCTGTCACCTACTTGGGCTGGCCTGGAACCTGTGGGCTGGAGAAAGTTCCTGCATTGAGCGTCTACCCCTTGGTGGTCAGTGTGCATCATAGCGATTGGCTGTTCCACCAGTGATTCTGATGTTCAGTTGATTTGCATATTAGGCTTTTATTATAGAGGATAGGCCATAAGACAGTGTCAACATTTGAACCATTCTGATGTTTTTCTTGCCTTAAAAAAAATAGAGCTGATAAAATTAATCTAGTGATTGAGGGTCAGCATCATGCATGCCACTTGTTCTGTACCACAAATAAGGGACTTGGTGTGTAAGGAGTGTTTGTTCGGACCAAAGTACTGAGCCTGGAGTTTGGGAGCCCTAATTTTAGAGTTTCCCCCACTTGCTTTCTTGCCTGTTGACCGTCATTTGTGGCTGCTGTAGCAGAAGGGTGACAGCTGTCTCTTGCTGTCACTTGTTGGCACCTGATTTACAGCCTCTGTTGTGTTATGGAACGGGAAAGCTAATGAAGTTTGTGAAAAATTGTGAGTAGAATAATTAACTTTGACAAAAGACCAAGGGTTTTTGTAGGAAGTAAATTGTAGTCTCCCCCCCCCCCCCCCCCCGGTGTTGCACAGTGGTTAGAGAGTTGGCTCATATACCAAAGGGTCTCAGATTCGATTCCTGGTCAAGGGCACCTATCTGGGTTTCAGGTTCTGATTTGGGCATGTTTGGGAGGCAACCAATTGAGGTATCTCTCACATCTAAGATTCTCTCTCTCTTTCCCCTTACTCCCTCTTTCCCTCCCTCCCACTCGCTCCAAAAATCAATGGAAGAAATGTCCTCTGGTGGGGATTCACAACAATAAAAAAAGAAGTAAATTGTATAGATTTTGAGACACCTTTCTTGTCTACTTTAGGGCTTTTTCTTTTGGAATTCATTCATAGACCAGGGGATGTATAGAACTAGAAAACTTCTTGGAAATTATGTAGTTCATACGTCCCCATTTCACAGTCAAGAGCAAGTCCATCTCACTAGGGGCATTGTCCAAGGTCACATAATTTTATTAACTTCAGTGCTAGACCACAACCCACCGTTCTAATTCTTGGTCACGTTCTGGTTCCAGTGCAAGTGGCTCTTAGAACCAGAGAGTTGATGTTTCATAGGAGTCTCAACCTCGAAATAAAGAGGTGTGTTTATATGTGACCATCTCTGTCCTAGATTATGTGGGGCAGCCACTCTTTATTCCCACATTGAATATTTATCAGATCCATACCATATAGGTTAGTCAGCACTTGCAAAGCACTTAGAATAGTGCCTGCCACATAGTAAGAACTTGGCCCTGATGATGATGAACTTCCAGGCACTAAGATGGGTAAGCTCAGAGATGGAACAAAGATGAGCGAAGTGAATATGATCCTTCTTTGCTTTTTTTTTAATAGCAAAGGTGGAAATTTATGAAAGAACAAGTACAGACTCCCATGTGGGGAGGGGAAAGAGTCCCCCAGAAAGGACTTCCACTTGGGGGAGGGTCCCCGTGAATATGATTTTTGTATGGGGTTCACATTCTAGCTGGGAAAAGAGTGTGGGTGGAGTGATGCTGTCATAACATGGTATTTTGGCTCTCTTCCTAGATGCTTTCTTCACCTGTCGAAAAAATGCCCTCCTGGCGAAGAGCTCGCCCCCCCAGGTAGAGGGTGACTTTGCCATGGCCCCTCAGGGCCTGGACCAGGAAGAGTGTGAGGGGCTGCTGCAGCAGTGGCGAGAAGACGGGTCGAGCCAGGTGTTCTCGACTGTGAGCGAGGGTCCCCTCATAGATAAGGGACTAGCCCAGAGCAGCTTGGCACTCCTGATGGATTATCCTGGAGAACAGGACGCTGCTTCCGAGGACAAGTGGTACAGCAGGCAGCTGAGTGACCTGCAGGCAGCAGAGAACCTAGAGGAGCCTTCCCCCGAGGTCCTGGGAGAGGAGTCACTGCCAGAGGGCGAGGGCCCAACGTGGGCAGCTGTCCCCATGCAGGCGGGCCCTCAGTATGCAGACTGCACCATCCTCCCAATGGGTGCACTGGCTGCAGAGGAGTGGGAAGAGGACCCCGCAGTGGTCGCCTGGAGCCTAGCACCTGAGCCTATGCCCCAGGAAGAGGCTCCTATCTGGTCCTTTGAGGGCCTGGGGCAGCTGCAGCCTCCCCCAGTAGAAATTCCTTATCATGGTGAGTCTGACAACTGGCTGAGAGAGCCAGGGGAGCAGGTGGTCAGGCTGTCGTGGGTGTGGGCAGAGCCATTGCTTAAGAAGTTGCTCGGTGGGCAGCTCTGCCAACTATGCCACTGCATTCTTTTTCCAAAGACTCTTGCAGTGTCAGATCTAGAGGGGTTTTAGAAATCACCTCATCTAGCCCCTGGTCTCTCAGAGGAAATAATGCCAGTACGGGACATGCCTAAAGTTACATAGCTCGCTAATGGCAGAACAAAGCGGATCCTAGTTCTGATTCTCCATGAGACTATGTGTCTGGAGGTGATCCAAGGCTTCTTGGGAGGAAGTGGAGAGCCCTTGGGGCCTCTGCTCTGTGCCTCAACAGAAGGACTCCTGTTTGATCTGTGGCGCATACTGAGCTTCCATTAAAAATTGAAGAATGAGTTCTGTGGCTCAGATAGGTTTGAAATCCACTATGCAGCTCCATGCTTTAATGGAGGTGGACAAGTGGTTTCTAGCCCTACAAAATTTTCCAGATTTCGAGGTTAGAAAATACCCAAGGCTGCCGAAACTGGTTTGGCCAACTGAAAGGTCTCAGGTTCCATTCCGGTCAAGGGCATGTACCTTGGTTGCGGGCACATCCCCATTGGGGGGTGTGCAAGGGGCAGCTGATCTATGATTCTCTCTCATCGATGTTTCTAACTTTCTATCCCTCTCTCTTCCTCTCTGTAAAAAATCAATAAAATATATTGAAAAAAAAAAGAAAAGAAAAGAAAAAAAAAAAAAAAGAAAATACCCAAGGCTGAGATTCTTGAGAAGTCTTTAAGCTCAGGTGACCATTAAGCACATTCATCTGAGTGAATCCTCTGAGACCAATGGATTTGTCAAAAGTGTGAGCCTGCATTTATTGAGCATGCACTAGGTGCCAGGCGTTACGCTAGGTACTGGGAGTACAGTAGTGAACAGCCCAAGATTGTCTCTGGCTTTATGGAGCTTACTGTCTAATGTGAGAATGTCCTTAGAGTTCTGCTCAGATGGCCACAGAGAGGGATGGGTGACATGGAAGGGGAAAAAATTTGAGACACAGTATCACTGTGACAGGTGGAGATGGTGGGGCCTGTGGGTAACATGTACTTATCATGACCTCTTCTTTCCAACCCCTTTGCAGAAATCCTGTGGCGAGAATGGGAGGATTTCTCCACTCAGCTAGATATGCAGGGCCTGGAGGCAGGGGATGGCCCTCAATTCCAATTCACTCTGATGTCCTATAACATCCTGGCCCAGGACCTGATGCAGCAGAGCTCTGAGCTCTATCTGCATTGCCACCCGGACATCCTCAATTGGAACTATCGCTTTGCAAATCTCATGCAGGAATTCCAGCACTGGGACCCTGATGTGAGTGAAGAGCTGGGAGGGCAGTGCATCTTACATTTGCTTTGGCCTTGGGCTATTTCCCAGTGCTCTTAGAAAATGAGTCATTCCCATAGCTGTCCACATGATTGGAGTCCTTCCTGGGGCTGGAGCTTGCCTGCCTGAAGTCAGTGAGTTTTGGCAGATGCTGAGAAGACTTTCCCTAGGTGCACTTTCCGGCACCTTTGTGCAGGGAGGGAGACTTAAGGGGAAAAATCCAGTGTATGTGTCTGGTCTCCTCAGCTTCACTCTGGCCTGTTCTTGCTGTGACTGCCTCTCGGTCCTGTGGAAGGTTCAGTGCCTGAGACACACAGCAGTTTCCCACCTGGCCCCTGCCTGCTCCTGGGGTGGGAGTCCCATTCAGCACTCTGGGCATTCTAGAGTGATTGGTTTCCTTGTAAATTCCCCAGATCCTGTGTCTTCAGGAAGTCCAGGAAGATCATTACTGGGAGCAGCTGGAGCCCTCGCTGCGAATGATGGGTAATGCAGCTCCCTGGCATGTGTGCCAGTCTTTGTTCCTGCAGCCCTGTCTGCTTTCTCCGAAGACACCATGTTTTTCTTTAGTCTCAGTAAACCTTCAGTCTCACTGCGAGCTAGCTCCTTTATGTGGGTGAAAAAGAAAGAGTTCGAAGTTTTAAAGTAACTGTGACATGTTGCCCTTTAATTCTTGAAATAACCAAACCTGTGAGTATTATTAGTCCCAGTTTACAGTGAAGAAACTGAGTTTCTCAAAATTTCTGTGACTTGCTCAGGGTCACAAAACTACAAAACTAGTAGGTTGTGGAGCTAGAACTCCAGCTTGTGTGACTTTATTATTATTATTATTATTATTATTGTTAATCCTTACCCGAGATTATTTTTTCCATTTATTTTCATTTTTGACATGTTTCCATTCTTTAAAATAAATAAATAAATAAAATATATATATATTTAATATATATATTTTATTGATTTTGTACAGAGAGGAAGGGAGAGAGATAGAGAGTTAGAAACATTGATGAGAGAGAGTCATCGATCAGCTGCCTCTTGCACACCCCCTACTGGGGATATGCCCGCAACTAAGGTACATGCCCTTGACCGAAATCGAACCCGGGACCCTTCAGTCCCCAAGCCGATGCTCTATCCATTGAGCCAAACCAGTCTTGGCATATTTTTTTTTATTTTTTTATTTCAGAGAGGAAGGATGAGGGAGAGAGAGATAGAAACATCAGTGATGAGAAAGAATCTTTGATTGGCTGCTTCCTGAACTCCCCCTACTGGGGACCGAGCCTGCACCTGAGTATGGGCCCTTGACGGATTGAATCTGGGACCCTTCAGTCTGTAGGCCAACACTCTATCCACTAAGCAAAACCAGATAGGGCTCCATTGACTTTTAGAGAGTGGAAGAGAGGGAAGTGTGGGATAGTGAGATAGAAAGAGATAGATGAAAGAAAGAGTGAGAGAGAGAGAGAGTAGGGGATAGAGAGAAACGTTAGTGTGAGAATGAGAGAGACACATCAATTGGTTGCCGCCCACACATTTCCTGGGGGATTGAACCTGCACTCCAGGTACATGCCCTTGACTGGGAATGGAACAAGACACTTTAGTGCACAGGCTGACACTATCCAGTGACCAGGGCCAATTTGTCTGACTTTAGATTCCATGCTTTCCCTGTCAACTTATATTGCTTCAACCCCTCTCTCCTTCTTTCCCTTTAGAGCCTCTCACTCATCTGGTTGAAATTGTCAGGGAACCTCTGCAAAGCCAAGGAATTGGCAAGGGCAAGGACTCCCATTATTGAGCAGCAGGAGTAATGCCTTCTTCACACCCGTCTGGCTGACTGCCACTGGTTGGAGGGATTCAGGGTTCAAGGATTCTGATCCATCTTCTTGGTGGGGTGTTCCTGCAGGCTTTACCTGTTTCTACAAGAGGAGGACCGGGTGTAAGACGGATGGCTGTGCTGTCTGCTACAAGCCCACGAGATTCCGTCTGCTTTGCGCCAGCCCTGTGGAGTACTTCCGGCCTGGCTTGGAACTCCTCAATCGGGATAACGTGGGCTTAGTGTTGCTGCTGCAACCAGTAGTCCCAGAAGGCCTGGGGCAAGTGTCGGTGGCCCCATTATGTGTGGCTAATACCCACATCCTGTACAACCCACGCCGGGGTGATGTCAAGTTGGCCCAGATGGCCATTCTCTTGGCTGAAGTGGACAAAGTGGCTAGGTTGTCAGATGGCAGCCACTGCCCCATCATCCTGTGTGGGGACCTGAATTCTGTCCCTGATTCACCTCTCTACAACTTCATCAGGGACGGAGAGCTCCAGTACGATGGGATGCCAGCCTGGAAGGTGAAACGGGCAGACTACTGCGAGTGGGAATACGGCCCAGGGAGAGGCTTGGGTGTGGCACCAGCGCTACTTCTGTGGCAGGGACTTCAGTTATCCCGGTTCTGGCTCCCTCCTGCTTTCTTGTACCCGAAGTTAGGAGCTCTTGAGTGCCTTTGGCATATTGGAATCCTCTCAGTCTTTATCATTAATTTATGTTGAGTCTATAAGTAATACATAAGTACATCCTAGAAAGAATCCAAATATCATAAAATCAGGCCAAAGCCCTTTGTATTACCTACAATCCCTGCCTCTCCCCTTAGAGTCAAGTAATAGCTGAAGGTTGGTGGCATTTTTCCAGATCGTTTTTATGCATTTATAGTGATATTGATGTTCCCATGATAGTATAATCTTAATTTACATTTATTAAGCAATTACTATGTGCCAGGTGCTATTTTAAGCACTTTAGATGTAATCATTAATTTTCATAATTTATATAATTGCCTCCATTTTACAAATAAGGAAACTTAAGGCACAGAGAAATTAGTAATTTGCTTACACTAGATCCGTGGTCGGCAAATTGTGGCTCGCGAGCCACATGCAGCTCTTTGGTCCCTTGAGTGTGGCTCTTCCACAAAATACCACAGCCTGCGTGAGTATTTTGAAGAAGTGGCATTAGAAGAAGTTTTAAGTTTAAAAAATTTGGCTCTCAAAAGAAATTTCAGTCATTATGCTGTTGATATTTGGCTCTGCTGACTAATAAGTTTGCCGACCACTGCTCCAGATTATTCAGGTCATTTTCGTGATGGAGCCAGGATTTTTGTAGCTGGGTGGTCTGGCCCCAGAGCTCTCACCCTCCAGCACTATCTGTGCTTCTAACAGCTGGTATATAATCTATCATGTATGTGTTTATAAACATGATATATTTTATTTTGTAGCTTTTTTCACTTAACACTGTATATATAGATCTGTGTTATTCGCTTTAATGGCTAAATGTTGATAGCACAGATATCTTATAGTTTATCATAGTTTGTTTAGCTGTGCTCCTGGGCATTCAGCGTGTGCTAATTTTTTAGCTAATTTTTAATGTTTCTTAATCTTCCTGTTTTGCTCTGACTGATCCATCCAACTTTTTGCTTAGCTTTTGGCAAGGTACAGTGGAGAAAGGACACAAAATGACTGAATTATTGAGCATTTTGGGCTTTTATTTTCATGAGGTTACTCAGGTGCCAGCAATGTCTTGATTGCCTCATGTGAAAGGCATTATCCTTCCAGAAGGTTGAAATCAAGGAGCTCAGGAAACAGGCAAAGAATTTACTGAGTGCCTACCTTGTGTGGCACCGTTAGGTGTGCTGATTAAGAGAACTCATTTTGAATTCCTGCTCTCCCACCTTGGTCATGTCACTTAACTTCCAAAAGCCTCATTTGCCTGATCCAGACATTGGGGATATAATAGGACCTACTTCAGAGGTGTTCGTTTGCTTGTTTGTTTGATGGGTTAAATAAAATAATGCACATGAAGTGTTTTCCAATTCCTACTTCAAAGGAAGCAGTCATACTTTGGTAGTGATTATTATTATCAACTCATAATTACATGTGGTATCATTATACCATTTTATAGTACAGGATATTGAACCCAAGAGAGTTGGCTAACTTGTCCAAAGTCACACAGCCATTCAATTTCAGGTCTGTTTTACTTCAGATGGCATATTGGAAAATAACGTCCTTCAAGGGCAGAGAGATTGTGCCTATCACTCCTTTCTTCCTAGCACTTAGCTCGTGTCCTACACATAGTTGGTATTCACATATTTGTTGTTAAATGAAATAAAGGGAATTTTGTTAACATACGTTGGAGATATGCAAATGGCTGATGTTGCCGAATGTTTCCCCTGCTGCCTTCTGTCCATACCCAGGCTTTGACTGAGGATGGTGATGTAAGTAAAGTGTGTTGGTGTATGTATCATTCCGCTCAACCCTGTGGTTTCCCAATAATAGGCTTACGATGCTAGACCTTGATCCAGAAGATCCAAAGATCAGGATAAACCTTTCCCCCTTGCACATTAAAGCTGCCAAAAGTTGATATTCTCTGTGGAGAATTGTGAAGATATTTCTGAGGTAAAAGTTAGGGGATCACATGTTCATACAGTTCTATTCTCTGTCACTCACACACCTCATTCTCTTATCCCTCATTCCTGTCTCATGGACATTTCAGTGTTCTTAGTAAAAAAAAAAAAAAAAAAAAAAAAGGTTTTAATTAGTTCCTTATTTTTAACCTTCCCCTAAGACTTATGTTTTACTCATATTGTGTATATAGTATATGAATGTGTGTGTGTGTGTGTGTGTGTTGCGTGCGCGCGCACACATGTGCATGTTTGTCTGCATGTCCCCCAAAATGGGCTGTTTCCTTTTTTCATCTTGGTTTCCTTCATTCCCACCTGCTCTTTCCTTGTAGGTGTCTGGACAGGAAGACTTCTCCCATCAGCTTTACCAGAGGAAGCTGCAGGCCCCACTGTGGCCCAGTGCCCTGGGCATCACTGATGGCTGTCAGTATGTCACCTCCCGTCATCCCAAGAGATCAGGTGAGCATGCACCATGATCTTGGTGGCTGTGCCTTCATGCCCATTTTGAAAGAAAGGTGGCACCTCCATGACGAGAAAGTAGAATCCCCTCAGTTCCCTTAGCAAGGTCTTTGTTTTTCTCACTATCCTTATGGCCACCCAATGATTCTACAACTTTAAGTCATAGCCGTTGGAACACCTCCTTGTCTTCTGAGCCAGATTTCCCCTGTCCCTGTGCTGGAAGCTTGTTTATATTAAGGAGAGCTCACAAGTGGCTCCTCTTCCTTTCTTTTACTGTGTGGCTTTTCCTGGTTTACAGAGAGACGTAAATATAGCCGAGACTTCCTGCTACGTTTCCGCTTCTGCAGTATTGCCTGTCAGCGACCAGTAGGACTGGTTCTTATGGAAGGAGTGACAGATACTAAGCCAGGTAATGGGAACTAAGTTGTTTTATTTTTAAAACCTCTTTACCCCTGATATTTGTCAATTATATGATTTCTCAGTCTTTCCTCAGCCTAATTCTTAGAGGTCAACTTCTGGTTATAAGTAGGCTTAGAAGGAAGATCAGTGGAGTGTAGTGGCCAGACACATGCATTGATGTGCAATGTCATGAGAACGTGGACAGGAATCAAGACCTGGGTTCTAACCAGCTCTGAGACCTTAAGGAAACGACTTACCCTTTTTAGGCCAAAGTTGCTACTAACTAGCATGTAGACAGCATATATGGGAGAGAAGATTCATGTGCTAGGGCTTTGAGAATCAAAAGGTAATGGTAGACTTGGTTGTAATAAATAGTCCTACTGAGAACTTTCAGACTGAACATAGCAGAGCATACTTGACATTCTACTCTTCTTGACTCTGAAACCACTTTGAAGCAACAAGGAAAATGGAATAAAGAAACATAAACTCCATCTTTAAGAATACAAGATCTAAGGTATCTGAAACCATAAACCACAACACAGTGGAATGGCTGTGAGAAGCACTAGAGATCATGCAGGGGTGTTGGAGGAAGTGTGGAGAGATTTATCTGTGAGGCGTATGGATTCCAAAAAGAATCAGCAGAGTGCCTTCCTCCAAGGTGAGGAGTGTACCTGAGGCACCAAACCAAAATCCTGTTTCATCAATAAGGAAAGGATGCCCAGGCGGTGATAGGACATTATCTCAACATGATTTAGTCCTAAGAGACAGTAGATGGAAGACTGATTAAGGAATCAAGCATATTTGCATTGAGCAGTCTAATATTCAGGGCTACACATCTTTTGCCTAGGGAGAAGCAAAAATGAAAAGGATTCATACACACCCTGTGTCATAAGGAAAATTCTGTTACTTGGGATGTATTTTTAATTCTCTTATATAAACTTTGTATAAATAACTGGTAGCGAAACCTCAGCTAATTCAAAGCTGGACTGCCCAAAAGAAACCAGCATGAGATCTGTACTAAAATACTAAAAGAAAAAAAAAAAAGAAAAAAGATAGAAGGAACAGGAAAAATGAAAGGCAGATAAAGAATCCTAACTTCAAAGATAAAACTTGTTGTCATGGAGCATATGAAAATTGTAATTATTTTTCCATGAATAAAAATATGAAGCAATTGCCTTTATAAAATAAGAGCACAAAAATAAAACCATTGCCTTTTAAACATAAATTCAGGCACATGGCAAGACATCAGAAGATGAAATGTAAGCTGTAGAGCTGAGGAAAGAAATGGAATAAAAGATTTAAAAAATCACATAAAATGAATACAAAATTGGATGCAGCATAAGAAAGAATAGATATTACTGAAAACAAGATGAGACAGGCAAAGAGGAGTGGGGGGAAGCAAAAGAAAAGGAAGTAAAAGGATAAAAAGGACTAGAGAGAAAATGGCAGTAGTGAAAGATAAGTCAAGGCAACATATAATTGGAGTTAACAAAGAAGAAAACCAATATAATGGCACTAAAGGAATATATCAAGGTGTGATTCAGGGAAGATTTTCCAAAGATGAAAAGATCTGAATCTTCAGATTGAGAGGATATGCCATATCTTAGTAAAAAAAAAAAAAAAAAAAAAAAAAAAAAAAATATATATATATATATATATATATATATATATATATATATATATATATATATATAGGAGAAGCAACACTAACTTCCTAGTGAAGTTACCAGAAGTCAAAGATAAAAGAATCCTTTGGACAGTTGAACCAAAAAGATCGGGCTACTTCTAAGAGTAAAAATAATGAGGTTAGCATCTGATTTCTTAACATTAACATTCAACTCTAGAAGATGGGAGCAAGGCTTCAAGGAAAGAATTTTATACTCCACCAAAAGCCTTTCTTGGAGAGATGCCAGAAGACAACCAACAGTGACTGGAAAAATCTGTAGTAAAAGAACTGGTGGTAAGCAATGAATTTATTTTTTTCTTGTCGGAATATAAATTGGCATTTTGCACAGAGCAGCAAACATTTCAATGGCTCAGTTTTTTCAATTGCAAAGGTAAATGTATTATTACAACTGTAGCAACATATAATGATGATGATGGCATGTGTTGGAACTGGGATAGGGCTTGTATCAGTTGGGCTCAGGCAGGGAAGCAGAGACTAGGTGTTTTAAGATTATAAAATCCTGAGGTTAAGCAGTAGTAGGATCCCACATAGGCAATTTTATGTTAAGAATAGGCTATTTTTTTTTTAAATCCGTGCTATACTTGAAGCATAAAATAAACATTTCAGTTTTAACAAAATAAAAACCAGGAATCTTTTTAAAAAATATTTTTATTTTTAAATTTATTTATTAACTAAGGTATTACATATGTGTCCTTATCTCCCCCATTGCCTCCAACCCCATTCATGCCCTCACCCCCCTGTTGTCTATGTCCATTAGTTAGGCTTATATGCATACATGCAAGTCCTTTGGTTGATCTCTTCCCCCTTACCCCCATCCTCCCCTACCTTCCCTCTGAGGTTTGACTGTCTGATCGATGCTTCTCTGTCTCTGGATCTGCTTTTGTTCATCAGTTTATGTTGTTCATTATATTCCATAAATGAGTGAGATCAGGTGATATTTATCTTTCTCTGAATGGCTCATTTCACTTAGCATAATGGTCTCCAGTTCCATCCATGTTGCAAATGGTAGGAATTCCTTTTTTTTTTTTTTTTTTTTTTTTTTACCACAGTGTAGTATTCCATTGTATAGATGTACCACACTTTTTTAATCCACTCATCTGCTGATGGGCACTTAGGCTGTTTCCAAATCTTAGCTATGGTGAATTGTGCCACTATGAACATAGGGATACATATATTCTTTCTGATTGGTGTTTCTCCTTTCTTGAGATATATTCCTAGAAGTGGGATCACTGGATCAAATGGGAGTTCCATTTTTAGTTTTTTGAGGAAGCTCCATACTGTTCTCCACAGTGGCTGCACCAGTCTGCATTCCCACCAGCAATGCACAACCTTGCCAGAATTTGTCGTTTGTTTTGTTGATGATAGCCATTCTGACAGGTGTGAGATGGTACCACATTGTGGTTTTGATTTGCATCTCTTGGATAATTAGTGACTTTGAGCATGTTTTCATATGTCTCTTGGCTGTTCTGTCTTCTTTGGAGAAGTATCTATTTAGATCTTTTGCCCATTTTTTTATTGGGTTTTTTAATCTTCCTTTTGTTAAGTTGTATAAGTTCCCTGTAAATGTTGGTGATTAAACCCCAATCAGTGATAACATTGGCAAATATGTTCTCCCATGCAGTGGCCTTTCTTGTTGTTTTGCTGATGGTTTCTTTTGCTGTGCAAAAGCTTTTTATTTTGATGTAGTCCCATTTGTTTATTTTCTCTTTAGTTTCCATTGCCCTAGGAGCAGTATTGGTGAAGAAATTGCTTCGGCATATGTCTGAGATTTTGCTGCCTATGAATTCCTCTAGTATTTTTGGTTTCCTGTCTTCTGTTTAAGTCTTGTTTAAACCCATTTTGAGTTTATTTTTGTGTATGATGTAAGTTGGTGGTCTAGTTTCATTTTTTTGCATGTATCTGTCCAATTTTCTCAACACCATTTATTGAAGAGATGTCTTGACTCCATTGTAGGTTCATGCCTCCTTTGTCGAATATTAATTGGGCATAATGGTTTGGGTCAATTTCTAGTTCTCTATCCTATTCCATCCATTTATATGTTTTTGTTCCAGTACCAGACTGTTTTGAGAACAGTGGCTTTGTAATATAGCTTGATATCTGATATTGAGATCCCACCTACTTTGTTCTTCTTTCTCAGGATTGCTGCAGCTATTTGTTTTTTTTTTTATTTTTTTATTCCAGATGAATTTTTGGGAAATTCATTCTAGGTCTGTGAAATATGCCGTTGGTATTTTAATGGGGAGTAGATTGCTTTGGGTAGTATGGACATTTTGATGATGTTGAGTCTACCAATCCACGAGCATGGTATGTTCTTCCATCTGTTTGTCTTCCTCTATCTCTTTTTTCAGTGTCCTGTAGTTTTCCACATATAGGTTTTTTACCTCCTTAGTTAATTTTATTCCTCGGTATCTTAATTTTTTAGGTGCTATGGATTGTTTTTTAGTCTCTCTTTCTGTAAGTTCACTATTGGTATATAGAAATGCCATAGATTTCTTGAAGTTAATTTTGTATCTTGCTACAATGCCAAATTCATTTATTAAGTCTAATAATTTTTTGTTGGAGTCTTTAGGGTTTTCTATGTACAGTATCATGTCATCTGAGAATAAGGACAGTTTTATTTCTTCTTTTCCCATTTGGATGCCTTTTATTTTTTCTTCTTGTTTAATCACCATGGATATACTTCCAATACTATATCAAACAGAGTAGTGAGAGTGGGCATCTCTGTCTTGTTCCTGTTCTTAGGAGAAATGGTTTTAGTTTTTGCCCATTGAGTATGATATTGGCTGTGGTTTTTTCATTTATGGCTTTTATTATATTGAGGTATGATCCTTCTATTCCCACCTTGCTGAGAGTTTTTATCAAGAAAAAGTGTTGGATTTTGTCAATTGCTTTTTCTGCATCAATTGATATGACTATGTGATTTTTATCTCTCAATTTGTTTATGTGATATATCACATTTATTGATTTGCAGATATTGTACCATACTTGCACCCCTGGAATAAATCCTCCTTGATCATGGTATATGATCTTTCTGATGTAATGTTGGATCCAATTTGCTATAATTTTGTTGAGGATTTTGACATCAAAATACTATCTCTTGAACATTTAAAAAAATATTAAAAATTTTTAAGTCAAAGGTAAAATTTAAACTGAAACTACAGAATATCTAAAAATAATACTGAAAATACCATATATTTTTGGGATTATAGCTGTAACTGTTCAATGAAAAAAATCATAGAACAATATAAAATATTTAGAATCACAGAATTATATTAATAAAAAAAATATGGAAGTAAGTATAGTAGGCATCCAACTTAAGTCAGAAAAAAGAACAAACTGAAAGCAGAAGGATAGAAGATAAAAATGAAAATAATTTAGAAAACAAAAATAGAACTAGTAAACTCTAAGAGTTGATGATTTGGGTGAAAAACAGCTGTCAATTCTATAAGCCCATTTGCTGGCCTATTTAAGGAGTAGGCAAAAGTGTCCAGAAGCACAAGAATTAATCCTATATAATAAAAGCCTAATATGCTAAGTGCCCAGTGTTCATCCATTCAATCAAAGCATAATATGCTAATGACATGTTAAAGTAGCTCAACTGCTCACTGTGATATGCATTGACCACCAGGGGGCAGACAGTCAGCTGATTGACCAGTTGCTATGATGTGTACTCACCATCAAGGAGCAGATGCTCCAATCAGTAGGTTAGCTTGCTGCTGGGGGTCTGGCAAATCCGGACTGAGCTAGACTGGCCGGACACACCCTGGAGCCCTCCCTCGGTCTCTCCCTGGCTGGCCAACCTCCCATGTCCCTTCCTGGCCCCGATCGCGCACTGGTGGTGTCCCTCAGTCTGGCCTGCACCCTCTTGCAGTCCGGGACCCCTCAGGAGATGGTTTTTGGCCTGATCCCGCAGGCTGGGTACAATATTAATATACAGAAAGCCATAGTAATCATATAAAAATAATGACATATTTGTTAAGAGATATAATGAAGCCTGGCTGGTGTTGCCTAGTGGTTAGAGCACTGACTTATGCACCAAAGGGTTGAGGTTTGATTCCTGATCAAGGGCATGCATCTGGGTTGCAGGTTCCATCCCTGGGCCCAATTGGGGCACATATAGGAGGCAACCAATGTGTATCTCTCACATCAGTGTTTCTCTCTTTCTTTCCCCCTCCCTCCCTCCCACTTTCTCCCTCCCTCCCTCTCTCCTTCTCCCTCCCTCCCTCTTCTCCTTTCTCTCTCTCTAAAAATCAATGGAAAAAATATTTTCAGGTGAGGATTAACAAGAACAAAAGAGGTATAATGAAAAAACTCTTTATAATAGCAACAAAAATAAAAAAAAATCAAATTAACATGGAAATGTAAGATATATAAAGGAATATTTCATTTCATCTAAATTATCAAATTTGCATGCAATTGTAACATTTCCTTATCCTTTTTTAAAAGACCTTTATTGAGATTAAATGCACATACCATAAAATCCACCCACTTAAAGTATACAAGTCAGTGACAATATAATCAGAGTTGTGTAACCAACACCAAAATCATTACCCTCAAAAGGAACCCCATATCTATTAGCAGTCACTTTCCATTCACCCCTCTCCTTAAGACAAATCAATTGACTGTGGACATATGGGTTTTTGGACTCTAAATTATATTCTATTCACCTATATGTCTATCTTTAGGCCAGTACCACACTGTCTTGATTATCTTAACTCTGTGTAAGTTCGAAATAGAGAACTGTAAGACCTGTAACTTAGTTATTGTTTTCACTATTAGGTATTATATTTGCTCTCTGGGATCCCTTCATAGGGCATTAATTCCATTCATGAGGTCTTCTGGGTTGCAGGTTCAATCCCTAGGCCCAGTTGGGGCATGTAGATGACCTAATTACTCCCAAAAGTCCCGGCTCCTAATGCCATCCCATTGGGGGCTTAGCATGTTAATGTATTTTGGAGAGACACCAACATTCAGTCCATAACACCCATTAATGTCAGTAGGGAGGGTCTGTAATAATTTCCCCTCTTTCTTTCCTGATATTGATAATGTGCCTTTTTCTTTGTGTGTCTGTGTATATATACATGTGTGTAAAAGTATGTATATGTGTACATATACACACAATAGATGGTGTGTGATAGAAAATCTCTGGAGGGATATACCAGAAATTTGGTGCCAATGGTTGCCTCTGGAGAGGAGAATTGTATGGCAAGGGACCTGGAATGGGAGGAAGATTTTTCACTGATATTTATTTATTTATTTATTTATTTAGTTATTTTTACTATGTGACTATATTACCTTCTTAAATTTATTTTTTTGTTGTTAATCCTCACCTGAGGATATTTTTTTTTCATTGATTTTTTTTTTTTTTTAAGAGAGAATGAAAAGGGTGAGGGGGAAAAGAGAGAGAGACAACTATGTGAGAGAGACACGTTGCTTGGTTGCTTCCCCCACTTGCAGGGAATGGAACCTGCAGTGAGGTACATGCCCTTGACTGGGAATCGAACCCAAGATCCTTTGGTGTATGGGGTCCAGCATTCTAACCATGGAGCAATGCCAGCCTGAGCTGACTACCTTTTTTTAATTTATTTTATTTTTTATAATGTACAGCACATTACATTTTATTTATTAAATATTATTGATTTTTCACAGAGAGGAAGAGAAAGGGATAGAGAGTTAGAAACATCGATGAGAGAGAATCATCGATCAGCTGCCCCTACTGAGGATGTGCCCGCAACCAAGATACATGCCCTTGACCTTCCAGAATCGAACCCGGGACCCCTCAGTCTGCAGGCCGATGCTCCATCCACTGAGCCAAACCGGTTTTGGCTACATCACCTTTTAAAAATAAATTTAAATTTTAAGAGAAGGTGCTGAGTCAAGGAAGATAAATGTCTACATTAGAGGCCTCTATCTTCCTGCGGTTCCTGACTTTGATCCATTGTTTTTTTCTACCCTTCACTATTTTTCCTTTTTCCCTTTGGGAGTAATCCAGTCATGGATCTGAGAAGGATTTCAGGGTGCAAGGTTCTGACCCTGCTTCACTGTCTGCGAATGACAAAACATCTTTCCGGTCTTCTACAGAGCGACCTGCTGGCTGGGCCGAGTCCGTTCTGGAGGAAGACACGCCTGAGCCTGAGCCTGAGCCCATCTCCCCCAGGTAATCCTACTTCCCTTCAGCTTGCATTCCAGAATATGAGAGAGATTCCTGTTGGTCTTCCTAAGGCTAAATTGGGGAGCATTTTTTGTTGAGCTCTCCCTTCCCTCAATACCTCCTAAGCTTATGGAGGGACATACAAGTGAATAGAGGCCAGAGGGGACCCACCCAGGTGCCTGCAGAGGAAAAGCCACACACTTTTCCTCAATGGAGTGAGGCTCACAGAAGAGCTTGCTGACCATGACAGGATATGCTTCGTCAGGGGTTAAGGGAAGACTGGGGGTGAGGAACGTCAGGGGGATTGAGTTGCATGTGCTATTTCTAGGCTAATTTTACCTAAGACTGTCAGCCTCTTATTAGCATGGGGAGGAATTTTTGTTGAGAATGTTACTTGAGATCATTCATTAAAAATACCTTATAACCAAAATCTGCCAAAGCCGGTTTGGCTCAGTAGTAGAGCATCGGTCTGCGGACTAAAAGGTCCCGGGTTCGATTCCGGTCAAGGGCATGTACATTGGTTGCGGGCACATCCCTGGTCGGGGGTGTGCAGGAGGCAGCTGGTCGATGTTTCTCTCTCATCGACGTTTCTAGCTCTCTATCTCTCTCCCTTCCTCTCTGCAAAAAATCAATACAATATATTTTAATAAAATAAAAAAAAATACTTTATAGCCGAAACCGGTTTGGCTCAGTGATAGAGTGTCGGCCTGTGGACTGAAAGGTCCTGGGTTCAATTCCGGTCAAGGGCATGTACCTTGGTTGCGGGCACATCCCCAGTAGTGGGTGTGCAAGAGGCAGCTGGTCGATGATTCTCTCTCATCGATGTTTCTCTCTATCCCTCTCTCTTCCTCTCTGTAAAAAATCAATAAAATATATTTAAAAAGAACCAAAAAACAAACAACAACAACAACAACAAAATACTTTATAAAACCCAGAGAGAAAGTAACCTTGAAAAAAGTTCAATAATGTTTGCTGACTGAAACTATCCTCTATTCCCGTAGGACTATAGGCACCATCCAGCACTGCCTCCACCTGACCTCGGTATATACTCACTTCCTGCCCCAGCATTGCCGCCCAGAGGTTACCACAATGCCCTTGGGTATTGGAACCACGGTGGATTACATCTTCTTCTCAGCTGAGTCCTGCGAGAACGGGAACAGGACTGGTAAGCCTGGTGGGTCCAGGGTTCCTAAGAGCCATCCACATGAGTCCCTGGGACAGCTGATGGTAGGTCAGGCATTTGGTGGCATGACTTGGGCTGCTGGGATTTGACCAGCAAAAGAGCAGGTTTTATACCTACCTAGCACTGCTCATCCTCATCATCCTTCTCCTAGGCCACTTGTCTGACTTCTCTTTTGATCCTTGTAGCATTAGAGAGAGGTGGGCAGAACAAGCACTCTACATCCCTGTTTTGGAGGGGGGGAAATAGAGCACCACGAGATTACTGGGTCTGTTCAGCGGTGTCTGGTTAGTGAGGAACTTGGTTAGGTTAGAGACCCTGTTTCCTATCTCCTTACCCCACTCTGGTGGTCACAGTGTAGCAGTCTATATGCCCTGTGTCTGTTTAAAGCATGTCTTTTAAAATGCTTAAATTGATTGCCTATGTTTAAAAATCAGATTTTTTAATAGAAAAATCTGGATTTCCAGTTTCTCTTAGAAAATCAGATTTTGTAATGTTGGGCCTGGGCATATACTCTGAACCCACCCCGCTTCATTCATTGCTATATCATGGAGTCTCTGAGAAAAATGAGGCCTCTCCTAGAGGCAGTGGGAGGTGAAGGAGGGTGGGCAGCCCAGGGGATGCAGCCTCTTGGAGGCATAGCTTCCATAGCCCCGCCCTCTCCATGCAGTGCGACTGACTCTCTTACCCTCTGCCTTCTGCTTTGTGCCCCAGGTCACAGGCTATATCAAGATGGAACTCTCAAGCTCCTGGGCCGCCTCTCCCTCCTCTCTGAAGAGATTCTCTGGGCTGCCAATGGCTTACCCAACCCCTTCTGCTCTTCAGACCACCTCTGCCTGCTGGCCAGCTTCGGGATGGAAGTGACCGCCCCATGATGGGCTCCCAGGGGAAGAGAGCCGCTCTTCTAGAAGAGCCCACTGGGTCAGAGACTGGCAATATCCCGTGCTTCTGAAACTTAGGTCCAAGAAACTTACAGCCCCCGTCCTGTTCCCCTTTCCCATGGTTAGATTATCTGCGGGCCTGTCCAGGCTCTCTGCCTGTGGTCCCTTCCCTGCCCCAACCTCTTCCTAATCCTCTTGTGCCACATCCTTGGTGGCCCTGGGCGAGGCGGAAGGGGGGGTTCCCCCTTCCTCCCATGTATCCAGCGCTCCTCTTGATTTTTAATTACCAGGGTTGTAGGAGCTATTGATCTCATTTGTTATTTGCTTTCAGGCCGTTTCTTGGTGGTACTTTCTGATCCGACCTCCTCCTCGTCCTCACAACCTCTGTGCCCAGCCCTCTTGCCAGGCACACACGTGTGACAGGTGTATAGTGTGTGTGCATCCTCTCAAGGTGGTCTGTTCTGTGCCATACCTGCCTCCCTCAGCCTGCTGTCCACACGGAGGCTGTCAGCCTAGGGGCAGGTTGAGAGCACGACCTGGTGCCTGTGTGCTGCCAGGCAGCAGCAGGGGCATGGGCCTTTCTCCTTTTACCCTCTGTGTCATTAGGCGTTCATCATGCCAGCCAGGGCATGCTGAGCTCTGGGAACACATGGGTCCCCAGCCTGGAGCAGCACAATTGGGGATGCAGTACCTGCCCTAAGCCTCCGCCCCTGAGATCCTCACAGGCCTGTGTGCTTTCACTAGGCTTGTCCCTGAGGAGGGTGTACGTTTGTGTGGGGACAGTGGGCTGGGATAGTGATTTGAGATTTAAAACTCCTTGAGGGTGAGGAGAAAGAACCTCAAGAAACAATGGGCTCACTGCACTCTGTAGCCCAGCGATTGCCAACCTTTCGGACCTCACGGACCGCCAGTGGTCTGCGGACTATTGTTGGCGACCATTGCCCCAAAGGTTTCCTTAAACCAGCGGTCGCCAACCTTTTAGGCCTCACCGGTCACCGGTTGGTGACTGCTGCTGCACTAGGGCGAAGGTGGGAGTGTTCAGTAGGGAAAGAGCAGGCGGGCTCTGCAGCTGTCTCAGCTGGGACTCAGGACCTCAGGGACCTGTTCTCTTCCCTCCACCACTTACTGTTTGCTGCCTCCCTCGTTCCCTTCCGTTTTCTCCCTAGAAAAGCCTGCTATTTAGCTCAGGCCAAACCTTCTCAGTGAAAAGGTGGCCTTGGGCACAAGTGCTTGAGGAGTTGTTCAAGCCAGCAATGCCTTGCTGCTCGTTGCCTCTGCTTTCCCTCTCCTCGAGCAGGGCACCTGGCCCATTCAGGGGGCTCCGTGCCCACACGCGTCACCTGCCTGCCTTAATCTTCTGTTGCTGGGGATGGCCCCTGGGTTCCCTGACGCAGAGCAACTGCTGGCCCTGCTGGATTTGACTTGCTGTTGCCCACTTGCCCTCCGGCACAGGGCTGAAGGGATGGCTGAGAAGCCTGAGACAGGCAGTTAGCCAGAGGTGAATTTAATGACCTCTCCTTCTTCTGAAAGCCAAAGACCCAGCTTGAATTCTGCTATGTTCATGGTTATAAACTTTCCACATCTAGGTTCTTGGAAATTTAAATGCGTGTATTCTTAAACAGTGTTTCCTGGGTACTGGGCGTGTGCCTGTCTGAGCCCCAGGCCTATCTGTCCATCCCCATCGTACAGTCTGTTTGTCTCTCTCTAGGCACCACCAGAGAGGACAGTGCCCGGTTGTTTTCTAAGACGATTGCCCTTCCCTGTTCTCTGCCAGGAAATGCAGTTTAAACATGGCTGAAGATGGCAGAGGGCAGGTAGCCTGCTAATCATTTTTGTTTTGTTATTTGTTTCTGTTTTGGAAACAAAATGGGGCTTTAAATTCTCTTTTCCAAATAAAGGTTTACTTCCCCCTCTCCCCGCCCCTCCTGTTGGTCATTTTATTAGGATCTTGCAGGGCACGGGGGAGAGAAGGCCTGGAGAATGAGGTGGGCTGAGAGGAGGAGACTGGCCTTGTGGTGGGGTCTCAAGTCTAAATCTACACGGGAGAAAAGTGAGGGAAACTCCCTCTGCTCACGGAGGCGTTGGGGGAACAGGGCTTGGGCGAAGCCTCTGCCCTGACTTTTCTTGTGGAGCAGCTCTCTTCTCCATCCTAGCCAAGCTAGAGGAGAATAGCTCTTTCAGCCACTATTGTTCTTGTTCCATCTGCTGCCCCCTCCCACTCCCCGCTCCGTCCAGACTGCATTTCAGAAGGGTCTGTGTGGAGTGGAAAGTGGGACGAGAGTGTTTTCCTATGGCAGCTGCATGAGGCCTGGTGCTTGCAGCAGATGCCTCTTACTGAGCTGCTATTTTTGATAATCTCTTTTGTGTTCTGGAGCCAGAGCTGAGCTGTGGGCCATCTGTTGCGGGAAAGGTTTCTCTTCTTCCTGGGCCTCACTCTGCTGGTACTTTTGTCCTGCAGCCTCCTTAAGCCGCAAGTCCACCAAGCCTGCGTGGGCATGGGAAGCTCTGAAATGAGGGTGGTTTTCTGCCTTACCTGACCAGATTCCCAGCCCTCACACCTGTGAGTCAGCCTCTGAGGATCTGAGTTACTGAAAGCTGCCAGGGTGATTCTGTTGAATCACATGGGTTGGGAGTCAGTGGAGAGAGCACCGCCTGGGAGTAGGAACACCACTTGTCATCTTGGCCTGGGGACTGTGGGTGAGTTAACGCTTGTGTTTCGGTTCACACATCTTGGTGAAATGGAAATTAAAGCAATAATCTTTTCCACTTGGGAGGAATTTCAGCTCTGAAATTGTATTGGTTGGGCATTGACAAGCAAGGGCTGCTGAAGATTCTGGAGTATTGGAGGGAGGTGTGGGTGGGTAGTCCTCCCCAGCCAGGCTGAACGATTGGCCCACGGGCTGGGATTGTTTGATACCTCCTAAGCTTTGAGGTGCAACCCCAGACCCCTTTCCTGGCCTAGAGGGTTCCCTACAGCACTTCATCAACCAGGACTCCATGCCCACTCTGCATAGATCACAGCACTGTGACGGGGCAGTTCAGGTGTTCATGTATTACCTTTACACCCGAGGAAACAGAAACCCCAAAGAGGTAAATCGCGAGCTCCTTTGCTTTATTTCTTGCCACCCCATGCTCCTCAGCACACAGCCTTTCCAGGAGCGAGAGAGAGGCTATCTTTCAGGGCAGATGCATTGTCAGAGTGGTGGTGGTGGTGGTGGTGGTGGTGGGGGAGTGTGGGTAGGGAGGGAAACCACTCACCAGGTTGCAACTGGTGTGCTTTTATTTTTAAACCCAGTTTTATTTTTCTCTGCAGTTCTTGCCCTGGTATAGCTACTAACGGGTTGTTTTTTGATTGGTTCCAGAATGCAGTGCGGGGCTTCTCTCCTCCAGGTGGATGAGGGACTCGGGGGCAGAGAACTGACCTATAGCCCTGCACTTCTAGGCTCACCCTGGTGCACCTCCTGTCTCTTTCCCTCCTGAGAACTGTGCAGAACAAAGCTTCTCCAGGCGAGGTCAGCCTGATGAGAGCTTGGGGTGCCGATCTCGCCTGGGCTGGGAGAAGGTAAACTTGGTGTTTTGAAGGGAATTGCCTCTGCCCCAACCCTAATCAGTTTCTACGCTCCTCAGGCCCGAAGCCTCACCCTGCTGTGGGGTGGAAGGTGCCTACACTTAAATTCTTGGAGGTGCTGTCTTTCCTACGACTTAAGTCCTTTCTGGCTGCAGGTTCGAAAGGATACGTTACCAGGTGGGTTGGCCTCAGAGAGCTGTCCTTCCCACTGACCGAGGTGGCCCATCTCTACCACCTGCCAGGCCCAGCAGCATGTCCCCTCACCCTCTTGGCAAACACTAAGGATGGCCAGGCAGCTGCAAGTGGACCATCCTTTGGTCTGACTACCACTGCCTATCATCATCCCTGCCCTCGACACATTGGTCAAGATGTCAGGTCCTGGCAGATGGGGTGGCAGAGCTTCAGCCTCCTCACGTTCAGGGCTCTGAGAAGTGCTACCTCCATCCAAAGGCTCACCCCAAATCATGTGCCGAAAGTCGGCAGGCACCTGCTGGGAGCCTGACAGCAAGTAGCAGGGCAGCAGGCCAAGCGGAACCCCCGCAGGTTGGGTTCTGACCCTCCTGGAGCCACATTTACCTCTGCATCAGCTCTGAGCAGCCGAGCGTGTCCAGCACCAGCCTGCTAGACTCAGATGCTCACCCCAGCCTGTACTCAGCTTTCATTTGCAAGAGAGCAGCCCCGGGCCCATTGCGAGTCCATCTCGCTGGAGCCCACCTAGAGGCCCTTATTAAAAGGTATGTTAGCGGGATTGAATGTGTAAATGACAACATTGCCTTTGGGTAAAGGTGTTGGTCCTAGTTAGTCTCAAGTTCTGTTACCTTTATTGAAAGGTGCTTTTTGGTATCAACCTGGTTTATATGAGCCTGTATGTAACAAAGCTGCGCCTATTTAATGGTGTGGCGTCTGAGACATTTGTGGATTCCAATGGCCGGCCTCTCCTCTTCCCAGCTGCCATGCCTCACAGCACACACTGCAAGTGCGGGAGCTTGCTGTGCTCAACTACGCTTCTAGTTAGGACTTCTCAGGATTTGCTGGGATAAGAAGTAGGAAGCATTCCACCTCTGATAAGTCTAGGTTTTACTCTCCAGCTGAATGAGAGCAGGAAGAGGGGAGGAAGGGTTAAAGGTGAAAAATGCTTCCGGGTCTGAGATATTTCTGTGCAAGCTACTTGCAACTGTTTGAACTTATCTTAAAGCCTGGGAAGAGGCCCAGAGCCGGAGGGATGATGCAGCGGAATGGTTGACGGATGGACCCACATGTGTTTTCCAAAGCTTTGGCTTCAACTACCATAGATTCTGTACTAGTAACTGATGAGAAGGACTTCAGGTCCCTGTTGCTATGGTTTCCTGAAATAACCTCATCTTCCAGGAGGACATTCACCCTTCCTCTGTTCTGGAGGGACTGACTGCGGGGGAAGAGAAGAGGAAGAGCAGGGCTCTGGAATGTAGGCTCCGGGGAGCAGACTCCAGCCCCCCTGCGGGGACCAGGCTGGCTGTGCGAAGGAGAAGGGGTGTACTTACAGCCAGCAGGAAAGGTCTCCCCAGATAGGCTTTATATCGATAAGAGCTCTGTGGCTTCAGCAGGCTGAGGGGGACAGACTAGGAACCCTGAAGTTCCATCCTGACTGCAGGGGCTGTAGGGCTTCCTGTTGGCTGGTTTGGGGCTCCCCTCACCTCTAGTCAGGCTCTTCCCAGAGACGCCGAGGCTGACGGTGGTCCGATGGGCTCCAGCCTCGGCTCCCAGAGGAAAGGAGACAAAGCTTGCAGGTCCTGGTTCCCAGCCAGCCATGCAGCCGGAGCTGGGGAGACTTTATTCATTTGGGCAGGGTGGGAAAGGAATGAGACAAAGTGTAAAAGCGGAAGGGGAGGCGCAATACTGATATGAGAAGAGGAAGGACAAAACTAGTACAGCACACAGCCCAACACAAACTCAAGGGAAAAGGTCGGCCACCATCTCCAGGCCTGGGGCCACGCACACCCGGTTCCCCCTCTCGTCAGATTTGAAGAAAAAGTAAAACTTGGGACACTGGAGCACCAAGGTGGGGTGAGAGGGTCAATACTGATGGGCCTGCAGCTAGCACCACAGCAGCCCTGCCTGGCCTGGGCAGCCCTCCCCGCTCCAATCCCACACTCCTCCCCACACTCCTCGGAGGACCTCCCAGTTGCACTGGGAACAAGGGAAGTGGGGATGTGAACACCATGGAGCTGGCTATGCAATCAATAGGCCAGCCCAGCTCTCCCTCCCTGTGCTCTGAGGCCAGAGGGTGGGCTGGGGATGCTCTGTGGCTAAGCCAGAAAACAGCCCAGACAAGAGGCCCAGGCGCGCACAGGCCTCTGGAGAGGCTGCTGTCCAGAATCAGACCCATCCCAGAGCCAGGAAGTCGGGTCCCAGCTGGGAGGGGTGGGTGTGATGACAGGGCCAAAAGCAGACATGGCTCCTCTGGCCCTAGGCTTCACCATTGTACCAGGGCTGGGGCTCCCGCACTCCCCACTTAGCCAGGCCTGTGAAGGATGGGTTGGCCGGTGTGATGGGTGAGAGTGACTATGTGTTGAGGCCATGGGAGGGAGAGGACTGGCGGTTAGGGGGGTGGGCACCAAGCACAAGGAGCCAGGCTTGGGGAGCAATCACCTCCCCACCCCACCTGACCCACCTTCATCCAGCTTTTTCTGACCTCACCTTGACCCCTCAGCCAGCAGCCCACACCCCAGGGACAGAGGAGCCCACATTGAGAGCTAGCAGGCAGTCCTGAGTCGGGGGAGCCAGGCTGCTGGTCCTCACAGGAAGTGAGATGAGGTGATACTGAGATGGTGACTAAGGCCTCAAAATCCCTGCCTCTGCCTCCCCAGAAACTGCAGCCAGGCCAGCCCCAGGAAGCAGAGCCTGTGTAAACACGCCCGGAGGGGAGTAGGGGTTGCTACATATGAGAAAGAGGAGTTAAAAATAAATTAAATTAAAAAGCACCACTGCATCTACATCCCCAATATCCGTGGTGATCTCCCCAGGCCCTAGGTCTCAGCCAGGAGGGGGGTGCTGAGGATTATCAGCTAGAATTATAGCTTGTTCCCTCACAGACAGCAATTGGGGTGGGGACTTCATTCTGCTTCCTTCTCTCCAGAGGACTCTGTAGTGGGACCTGTGGGTTGGAGCATTCTTCCTGGCTTCTGTTCTGGAAGCAGCTTCCCTGTTTCCCTGACCTAAGCTTCCAGCTCCCAGCTGCCTCTTGGCGTGTCTCAAGCTCTGTGGTCCACTGGGGCAGGTGGGGCCACTTCCCTGCTGAGCGGCCTGCATGAGGCATTCACATCCAGACCCGGAAATGGCCTCGTTTTCAGCCTCATGCCTCCCAGGTGAGCCATCCCTGTCTCAGGTGAATGTGGCAAGATGAGGACCACCACCCACTTCCTGAAAGCTGGGTGGGATGGTGAGTCAGGGGTCACAGTGGCCTTCGCTTCCTCTGGCTGCGATGTAGCCAAGAGGCAGGTTAAGTACCTCCCCAGGGACCAGTAATCCATGAGGAACCCCAGGGACTGGCCAGCTGGCCTCCCTGCTGGGCCGGGCTCTGGGCTGATTGCTGCTGGTTTGAAGAGCTGCCAGTCCCGGTGCCAGTCTTGATGCACACTCCCTTTAGCAAAGAAAGCCTGTCTCCCTCTCCCTCCTCCTTTCTTTGCTTCCCGAGTCCCATCCATCTCCAGAGCAGCTGAGAACTGTACTCTCGCTACTCCACTCCACCCCGTCTGGTGACACAGCAGCCATGGAGTCTCCGGTGTGTCTGGTCTGCAGGGAGCATGAGGAACATGGGACACTACAGATCAGACGGGGCCCAGCGGGGCCCCTGCCCTGGCCCGGCCAGCCCTGGGAAGCCTAGGACTTTCACATTTCCCTCCTCAAAGCCCTGCTTCCCTGCACAAGCTCTCCACTTCAGAGATGACAAAGAGGCATTCTCTTTCATGTTGGTTTTTAAAATTTCCTGAACTGATCGCCAACATTTAAAAATCAGGATATTTCACATAAAAATTCAGAGTTCTGGCCTCTGAAAATCTCAGAAGATCTGGTAATGCAGGGCCTGCACTCTGAGAACAACTGAGCAGCAGTGGCTGCTTTAATGGGACCTCTGCCCTCTTTAGTTTGCCACCGTCCCCACCCAGCCCTTTCCATCACCTGCCTGGCCCTGTGAGGTTATCTGAGTTTACAAATCTAGTTCTGACCCTCCCTTTTCCATGCTCCCAGCCCCTCCGCTGTCTCATGACAGCTGCCCCTGGCTGAATCAGAGCCTCTCAGTTAAAATTAACCTGAATGGTCCTTCCATCCAGCTGCCCCTCCATAACCTGAGTCCTCTCAACCGCTTTCTGACAAGTACTAGTAGCCATCTAGTCATTGCCCAAGTCCCTCCGGCAGTAGGGAACTCACCGCTCCCCAAGGCAGCCTGACTCTAAATTCTCCCCCAAATCCTTTTCTCACGTACACCCACCCCCATTCTCAGACTCTGCCCCTCCTCAGGGGCCACACTGCACCCTTGCCCTCCACCTCCTTGTTGCTTAAAACTCTGGAACATTCCCCCAACCCTACCAACCTCTTTCTACTACCTCTCACCTGCCCGCCAGTTCTCTCATGCCAGTGGGAGAGCTGTGCAAACTCCGGCTGTTCAAGTTCTTCCCTGACAACAGGCCTGGTCATCTCTGGGACCCCCAAAACTAAATAGGCTGCTAGATGAGGGGAGGTGGACCTGGGGCACAAGCATTCTGGCCAGGTTTCATTTCCCCACAAGGGCTGAGGTAATGGGACGGGGGCGGAAAGGGGACAGACCCAGGCCTGTGTGTATGTCCCCAGCCACAGCTCCTGGGCCACCAGCTCTGTTCAGTCCCCACAGTCATGCTGAGCCCAGTGCAAATCTGAGCCCTTGGCTCTGCCCAGACCTCTGCAGTGAGCCCAGCCTCAGCAAGAGGCAGATCTGGGCTGAGCAAGATGGGATAGGGGCTCCGGAACTCTTCCCCCAGTGATTCTCTTGTGTGCTCTCCCTCAGCCCCCCAGCAGGGGGCGTGCCAGTGGTCAGTGTCAGTCCTCAAAGCACCATCTATCTGTTTGCGGGCTGCAAGGTCACGAAGGCTCTCCTGGGCTGTGGACTCTCGCCCTTGGGGAGATGTCACTGTGTCAACCTCCTGAGATGGGCACAGACCTCTCCCAGGATGTTTCCTACCCTGCTTCCTTTTCCCTGTGTCAAGATGCCGCCAGGGCAGGCGGACGTGGAGAAACACCCCCAACCTCTGCCGCTCTGTCACAGGCCTTGTGGACTGGGAGATTTCCCGCACGTGGGACAGACCCACATCCAGAGTCGCCAGGGGCAGGGGAACCAGCAGAGTCAGCCACGCCCCCTCACTCAGCCGCATGGCAATTAGTTCTCCCAAGCACAGGCCTGCCAGCCGTTGGCAGGTCCATCACATTTTTAGTTTTCCCCAAATACCGTAAACTGTAGTGTCAAGTTAAAAACTCCATGTAAAACACTAACTGCCTCTCAGCCCAAAGTTGGGAGCTTGGCCCCGTCCGAGGGAGAGGCCGTAGCCTGGGTGGCTCAGCTGGAACACACTTTTCCTGCCGCCGCTCATCTGCCCCATCGCCAGCCCTGCCTGCCCCAGGTGCCAGGCTGGTTCTGGCAGGCGATCCTGGCCCCCCCCTCCGGTGTGGGCGAGGCCGGGTGCTGCCACCCACTTCACACCCGGATCTGGTACCCATTGAGGTCTGGCATGGCTTTGGGCTCGGAAGGCTTCTTCTCACCCGAAGGCCTGCAGGGAGGAGAGAGCGCAGGGAGGAGAAGGGTGAGTGGTCCATCAGGGGTGTGGGGGAGGAGGCTGCCCCCGGGACCTGCCCACTCCATTCTTTGTGGTGCCCAAATGCAACAGCAGAGTCCACATGGGGGTGTGCTTCTGGAATCCCGGCCAGTGCTGTCCGGAGTGTGGACCCTGCGATCCCTTACAGCTCCCGCCCTTTGCCGGAGGCCAGCTAATCAGGCCACAGTTGGCTATAAAAGCTTCAGGTGTAAATCTCTTTGAGGGGACCCAGTTCTCCAGATGGAAGCGAAAGATGCTGGATATTGGAAGCCTGCTTGGTGCCCGTAGATCATACAAGACAAGTGGCTCTTGAATGACAAGGGTATTGAAAGCAAGAGCCAGACTGACAGGAGACAAATCAGATATTTCTGCCATCCAGATAGAGGCAAAAACCACAGACTCCCAGGGGCAAAAGTTCTGTCCAAAGCCGCTGCTACCTGATGTTCACACCTTTCCCAGCAATATCCTGGGAGAACCCCTGTCTGGCAGGGCCCCTCCCACACACGCTGGCCTCAGACTTCTCGCCAGGGGCCAGGGTAACCAGAGGGCCAGGGAGTGCTGCTTTCTCTGGGGAAATGGGACTGCGTCGCTACTGGGAGGTGTCAATACATAAACACACAAACCCTCCACCCCAAATCACCTCTCTTCAGCGGGGCCAAAGAGAACAGTGGGAATGAGAAAAGTGGGGTGAACAAAAGTAGGACCCAGAAGATGAGAGGAAAGGAGAGAGCCTTCTTCCGGCCCCCGGCACTCACCGCCTTTCGCTGCGGCTGTTCCTGCGGTGGGGGCTGGACTGGCCCCGCTGTGGGGAGGACACGTCCTTCTTCCGGTCCTTGGTTGGGGAGGGAGGGCCAGTCCCTTTGCTGATCTTGGGGGAGGAGGGGAGAGAAACAGAGACTCATTCCAGGGCCGCCCTCCAGGCTGTGGCAGAGCCTGGCCTGCTCTATGGGAGCCACATGCCCCAAGACTGCACTGGGTAGACCAGGAAGCTCAAGCCACCACTTTGCCCAGCCTCCCGATCCTCCCAAACCTGTTCCGGGCACTAAAGCTGCCAGGGCAGGGGGTCCTCAATCCCAGTTACCCCTAAGATAGTGTGGATGTTGGGGGATGTCACTGAGCTTTCGTGATAAGAGACCTCCGAGAAAAGGGCCATTTCCCCATGCCAGGCAGCTGGGGAAGCGGCCCATGTCTGAGTTTTGGGCTGGGATCCTACCAGCCCCAAGGGTGACACTGGTTATCTCCAGCCAATCCGAAGCTCAGACTGGTAGCTATTCAGAAACAATTGAGGAAAGCAAATGAATTATCCTTTATGCAGTACAATCAGCTTGATCTGAATTCTGAAAACATGGGGTACACAGTGGGGCTGCTGGAGAGAGGCAAATGCTGGGGACTCTTCAGCACTAAACAGACTGAAAATCACAGCATTAAAGATGAGGTAACCACTGGTTTCAATTCAGGTCCAAACTGCCCCCTGGAAGGGGTAAAGCACTCCAGCAGCAGGAGCTGGGGAGCTGGGCAACCAGTGCTACAGAGGAAGGGCGGCTCAGGGCAGCGGAGAGCAGCCCGGAAAGCAGCAGGCTGGCTGCGGCTGCTTCTGCCCTGGGGAAGTGCTGTCACCATAAGGTCATGGCCTCGGGCTGGCAGGGCGGGCTGTGGGGAGCATCAGTGGATATGAAAGTACTGAGGTCATGGTTTTGGCACCAGGCTGCTGGGAGGGGCAGATCACAGCACAGCAGTGACTGAGCAATGGGGTGGGGCTGAACCCCAGTAAGGGCCTGGTAGGCCCCAGGGGAGGCACCCTCAGTCCAGGGAGACTAAGGGAGAGGCCAAGATTCTGTCCACTTTCAAGTTCGGGGGCAAACTCCTCAGCAGCTCTGCCCACCTGCTCAGGGGGCAGCAGCCCCTCTCACTCCTGCTCATTGGGGTGGGGGAGCAGAAGGAACTACTATCTCACTGTCTTCCCATGCTCTGACTTCCTTCTTTTTCTGACTTCCTCCTAGTCCTTTACTGGAGGGCAGGTGTGTGTGTGTGTGTGTGTGTGTGTGTGTGTGTGTGTGTGAGGGGGTCAAGAGTCAAGATGGCTCAGTGTTTGAGTGTCGACCTATGAACCAGGAGATCACGGTTCGATTCCCGGTCAGGGCACATGCCCGGGTTGACGGCTCAATCCCCAGTAGGAAGCATGCAGGAGGCAGCTGATTAATGATTCTCTCTTATCATTGATGTTTTCTCTCTCCCTCTTCATTCCTCTCTGAAATAAATAAAAATATTCTTTTTTAAAAAGAAAAAAAAAAAGTAGGATGCATGGGTCACGTGATAGAGGCCACTTGTACCCAACCCATCAGTCCCTCCAGACAGGCCCTGACTTCCCACCTGTGGATCTTTACTCAGAGATCTTTATCCTCTTCCTGGAGTGTCCCCTTCCCCTCCCCTCCCCTCCCCGCCAAGGCCTGCCCTCTCCCCAAGCCCAGCTCGCTGGCCACCTCCTTCCGGAGCCTTCCCTGGCCTGCCCGCCTGAGGGACTCTCACAACAGTGACCTCTGAGCAAAGACACTGTTCAAACTTCCCACCCACCAGCCCCTCCCCCTCCGCTGGGGTGGCAGTGGGGTGGGTGAGGGGTGATGGCATCCCTGTAGGAAGCAGCAGCCCCTTTATTTCCCTCTGGGGTGGGGGGGTGGCGGGGGGAGAGGGCCCGCACTGACCTTGAGCCGCATGTCGCGGGCGTGCCGCTCCAGCTCCTTGCGGAAGTCCTCGCGGCCCAGCCTGTCCACGTCCAGGACCGAGTGCTTCCACTCGATCTGCTCCACGCTGTGCGGGTCGTGGGACACGCACTGGCCCAGCTTCACCTTCTTGAGCACGTGCCAGCAGCGGCCGTAGGCGGCCTCGTAGTCCAGAACGAGGTCGCTGAGCGTGCGGAAGGCGGGCGGCTTGTACATCAGGTCCTCGCGCCGGCTCATGCCCAGGGCCCCGTAGCGGCCCCCGAAGTTCACCCCCAGCACAATGTGGCGGAAGTAGTTCCCTGAGAAGTAGCTCTTGAAGCTGATGGGGAAGCGTTCCAGGGTGGGCATGCTGTTGGTGAGGTAACTGGCCGTGTCAGTGCAGCTAAGGAGCCAGCCCGGGTGAGGCGCGGGGCCAACACGTGGGGGCAGGACTGGGGCTGCACGCCCCCCACCCCCACCCCAGGGACAGTCTGGGTGAGGTCCCCGCTCACACTCCTCCGTCCCCCCGTTCCTGACACCATGCCTTGCTCACCTCCATATCCTCTTGCCTAGCCTTGTGCCTGGCATACAGTAGGTGCTCACTAAACAGAATCTTTAAGGGGCAGGGCTCTCAATGACTAGAGGCTGCTGCTACCATATCAAGCACCATTCACAGAATAACATCTAAAAGTGAGTTCTTCAAACCGCAGGCTCTCCAAAGTCCTTGCAGCTTAAGGAGGCATGAGAGAGGCCTGCTGGCTGCACCCACTGCCCCCCTTCGCCCTCTCGCCTTCTTTCCATCAGTCTCACACACACGTCCCCTCTCCCCTGCCTTTCCTCCCAGATGCGTTCTCACGTGGCTTTTCTCTCTCATGCATCCATTTCCTCGCAGATGCAGACAACCCTGTTCTCTTCCACTCCTGCTGCTCCTCCCTACTCTCTTACTCCCCATCACCCTGCAAATAAAACCATGCCTGTTCCCCTAGCCCTGGAGGCCATGCCGCCTGGCCCAGTGGCCCACTCCAACCTCCTCCTCGCTCCCCCACTTGTTCAGCCTCCCCATCCACCTGGGTTTCCCACCAGAGGACCTTCTGCACTAGCTTTTGCCAGAGGGCTGTTTCTCCCCCCCCCCCCCTGCTCCCCGGGCTGGCTCCTCCACATGCCTCAGGCCTGGCCATCATCACTGACCTCCCTTTCTAAAGCAGGCCTGCTCCACTCTTCCTTCTCCCTATGGCATGCTCACCACAGTTTGTCACTATTTTACCTGTTTACTAGCTTTTTTTTTTCTGGCTTATAAACTCCTGAGGACGGGGACCTTGTCTGTCATGCGCTTTGTTGTACCTTTGGGACTCAGCGCGGAGGCGGGCACGTAATAGTCTCTCAATCAAACTCTTCTTGAACGAGTGGGTAGAAGATGAGGGAGATAAAAACTCAGAGTAGCTACTGTGTACAGACACTGTGCCACGTGTCCTGCATGTATCCACTCATTCAGTCGTCCTAGCAACCTGTGAGGCAGGCACGGCCACTGTCCCCCACTGCACAGAAGCTAATGAGACTCTGAGATGTGGAGGAACTTGCTCGGGGTCACACAGTAAGTGGGTGAGAACTAGGATTCAGGACCCTGAAGCCAATGCCCGAAGTCATTACCATACTTCTGAGCGACTCCTTGCAAATGATGGAGGACACACAGGCTCCGTGCAGAGGGTGAGGCACAGGGACAGACGCAGTCCCGTGGCAGCATATGTGCAGAGACTAAGGGAGTGGCTGTAGGGCCAGTGTAGGTAGGCCTTCCGCCCAGATGGGGGCTGTGCTGTTTTTTTCCTGCCCATGAGCCACCCAGCAAAGGCCTCTGAGATGGCATGACCCCACATGGACCTGCTTCTATGTGTCGGTGGAGGGGAGGTGGCTCCTTCACTGTGGGTGGGAGCCCCACTTTGGTGTGTGACCCCTGAAGGAAGAGCAATATGGGGTCAGGAAGGAGGCGCTGGTAGTGGCCGGAAGTTCTCGGCCTGGCCTCACCCTCGTCCTTGCAAAGGACCCTTCAGACAGACTCTGGGAGTGGGGACCACCCGCCCAGAAGGTCCCGCGGTCTCTGTATAATCTAAGGCAGCTATGTTATGGGGGAGGAGTGGCCCCCTTGGCTGCGGTCCTGCTCGGAGAGGCTGTGCCCCTGCCCTCGGACCATCTTCTCCCCGACCTATTCCAGCGAGTGGACTCTTATTGTGTTAGGCCCCTTCCCTTCATCCTCTCTGCACACGGAGCCAGGGGCCTGCTCCAGAGGGGCAGGCAGAATATCTAAAAGCCGATGGCACCATGGGAAAGGGGGGATGTGAGGGATACACAGAGATGAATCTAGATTGGTCCTGAAGCGGTAAAACTGAGTGCTGGGCACATGGGGTTTATTATATTGGTCTATGTTCATACCGGCTTAAAAACAACAAAAAAGGGCAAGGCTCCCACATGAACCAATCAGGTCAGAGAACTGACCCTGTGCACCTGCCTGACCCGCCTCTCCTCCCCACAACTAGGAGGCTTATCTGCCCACCTTGGGGCCAAGCTATAGTTCCATCTCTGCCCTTTGGGAGGAAGGACTACTTGCTTTCCCTTTTAAAGGCAGGAATTAGTTCTTTTCCCACCCATCATCTTCACAAATCACCATGCCCTGGAAATGCCAACCTGTTGGCATTCACCCTGCTTTTCCCAGTCCGTTTGGTCGTTGGAAATGGCACAGTAGCCTTTGTGAGACAATGTGCCCTGATCCAGGGGTCAGAGAACAGGGTCACAGTATCCACGTGGCTCAAAAGAGAGCTTCCCAGGAAGCCTGAGGCATGGGGGATAGAGACCCACTCAAGCCCCTTCACTTTGGATACAAGTTCAAGTGCTGGGAGAGCGAGCTGTGAGCGCTCCTCCCCTCACCCCCCACCCTCTTCCAGAGGAGGAAGCTGGGGCCCAGAATGTGCCTGCCCCCTCCCAGGGCTGAGGAAGGATACATTCCCAGGATCACGGCTTCCAGGCATTTGATTGGCAGAGCCTCTTTGGTCATTTCCTTGGCCAGGTCCATCAGCCTGGGGACAGGGAGGCAGAGCCATGAGGACAGAGCCTCTAGCCCTTTCCAGTGGGGGAGTGTCAGGAGCGGGCAGGCGGATGAGAAGTGCTAGAACAGAGACTCCCATCCAAGCTGCCTCAGCTCAGGCCCAGCACCTCCCTTCCCTCCCCCAGGTCCATCCTAAGCCAGAGAGGGTAAAAGAAGAGACAGCCAACAAGGAAGGAGGTCCCTTCCCTTTCCTCCTTTCACTTCCTCCTCCTACCCAGGCTCCTGACCTCTGGGGGCGGGAACATGAATGGAGAGTGCAGTCACAGACAGCCACTGGAGGGGGCGGGGGTGGGGGCCGGTGGGAAAGCATGCCATGGATGCCCGGAACCTTGGCATTGATCCTGTCCCTTCCTGAGCACAGTGGACGCTCCTGACCCAATCCCAGTGCCTCTAAAGAGCTTGTGATTGATTGCAACTGCTCCCCCATGACTGGCCAGCCGCCCGAGTCCTGGACGTGGCATCTCAGGCGCTTAGCTGGTGACTCCCCGGCCTGTCCTGAACTTGGAATTCAGGCCACTTTAAGACAGCCTGTTCCTGAGGCCTGGTTCCTCCTTCCGCCCTGAATGCTGCCTCCAAGTCTAAGAATGCAGCCTGGCCGCTGGCTTTTTCGCCCAGGTCGGAGCTGGACTCCTCCACCCATGAGGCTAGGCCTGTCACTCCGCAGCCCCAGGACAAGAGCAAAGCTTTTAGGGTGCAAGAGTCTGCCTTCCACCAGGGGGTCATTAAGGAATGTAGCTAATAGCCCACTTAAAGCATTCTTCGCTGGAAAGCGGACTTGGACAGGCTATGGGTGGAAGGAGATGTAAAATCCACATTAATTTTTAAAACACAGGGCTTTAAGCCCGTGGACAGCTCTGGGTGAGCTCCCAGCCCCCCAGGCTCAGTGAGGAGGTGGCACTCAGTCCTCTCTCTCTTCTGTCCCGGGGCTTCCTCAGGGCCAAGCCAACCAGGGCTCTGCACGCTGGGTGGTGGGTTAGGAGTGAGAGACACGAGGTCTTGTACTAAATGACCAGAGGAGTCCAATGAGGCGAATGGGGTGACCACAAGTTCCCTGTGATGGGGGGAGCTCTCTCCTGCTAGATTCCCCTCATTAAAAAGAAACCAATAAGGCTTCTACCTGGGACCACCCTGTCATTCCCAAGGCAAGCAGGGGGGCTGCCCATCACCCAGCTCAGCACGGGAGCCCGGTGGTCATCTTGGCCCTAGTTCCTCTTCGTGGCATTCTGGGGCCCCTGCGGTGTGCAGTGAAGGAGTTGGGGCACAGGGGGCCATGCCTCTGTGGCCTGCTCCCTGGGAGAGGCCCTGCCTGCCCCACAAGCTTCCACCCCAAGGCCCCGAGGCGCTCCAACCCGCCAAGAAGCATCGTCTGCCTGGCGAAGGGACAGCATGCCCACACTTACCCGGTGAGGGGTCTGCTCTTCTTGATTTCAAAGAACTGGGTCCCTGTGTGATTGTACCTGCAGGGCTGGTTAAGGGCTTCCCACGTGGTTTGGCAGAGGCATGTCCCACCTCCCCACCCATCCATCAGACCCAGCATGCCCAGGGGTGCAGGCTGGGTCAGGACCCCATGAAGTGTTTCTTGAGAGGAACCTGGGGGGTGGGCGTGGAGACACGCTGAGCTTCTGGAGGAGCACATGCTCCGCACGGCCCCCCCTGTCCTCTCTATCCTCTGTGGTTTCCACCTTGCTCTCCCCCAGCCTCTCCTCCTGGGAAGGGGGCCGTGGAACAGGCAGCCAGGCCAGCTGGGACTGGGAAAGTGGCTGATCTCAGACTGCAGGAAGCAGCATGAACCACAGGAAAAAGCTGGTGTGTGTTTGGGGGGTGTGGCTAAATTGCTAGGTGCTGCTCCTGGGCCATTCTCCCGTTTCAAGGCCAAAATGTCCCACTAACAAAGGGGGAGCTGGATCTGATTCTCAGTAACCAGTCTAGCTTTCTCCTACTCAGGGCCCGGTCCTCCCATTTCTGCCTTCCCTGTAACCGGAGGGGCTGGGGGAGAGACCTGGGACATACAGGGCAGAGAGCAAGAAGGGCCCAGAGCAGGAAACCCATGGGGTCTGGGCTCATGCCGGTCCAGCTCTGCATGGCTGGGCAACGGGCCCCCTGCCAGGGAAGCAGCAGGCACAGAACGGGGAGAGCATGCCAAGATGTGGTGCCACCTCCCGGAGCATAAAATCCTTTTCCGCTTCTACCTGTCCCCCCACCTGACCCCCACTGCCTTTAAACTACTAGTATTTAAAGTCCCTCTCCCTCCTGCTGGGCTGAGGAGGTCTGGGCTAGTGGACCTAGACGGGGCCACGGCCAGCAGGCAGCACAGGGAACATTTGCCCCATCACACAGAGAAGGAAGCGGGTGGCGAGAGTGGATCTGGCACTCGTCACAGCCCTTGGGCTTGCCCACCTCCAGGGGCGCGAGATGCCCTGTGAGCTGTGGCTGGGCCGTGGCTGGTGCTGCTCTGCAGATACCTCTCCAGCCCAGTCTGTAAACAAGCCCCGCTCGCCGCTGGCCCAGCAGCCGGCCCGGCCTGGGAGGATACTGCAGCTCCCTGATGTAGCGCTGCACGGCTTCCAGGCGCTCAGGGACCGGCGTGGAGGGCGGGAACGCAGGCACAGTCGGTATCGGAATCTGGGGACAGAGAAAGAGCCCTGGTCACAGAGGAAGGCCCCCCAGAGCTTCCGGCCCCCGGAAACCCAGATGGCCCCGCTGCCCAGAAGCCTCCCCGCTTCCCTCCTACCCTGAGCCTCTCTCCTTGGCAACCCTTTATGGAGGCTCCGGCCAGACCTCCCCCAGGACCATCCCTGTCCCTCCCGGCGCTTCATAGCATTCCAATCTGGAGCTTCGGTTGCTGTTCCCGTTTTGTTTTCCTTAATAATTTTAGAAAAACACAGGTTGACGCACCGACCGTTTTGAATCTTAAACAGTCATCGACTCTACGGCTTAAGGAGAATGTCAGTTTTGCGGTTAAGTTCTTTGGATGTGGGGCTGGTTCTGGTTCAAGTGCAGGATCAAAGCCGGTTTACCTGGTGTCCCATCCTGGCAGGGCCGGCCCTGGGCTGGGGGAGCACTCCAGTGACAGAGGAACACCCCCAACCCCCGGCAGAAGGTGCTCCCCACCCGTCATGGCACATTGACCAGGCCTCTAGCTCCTGCCGGGCTGGACTGCGGTGGTGGCAGGCAGAGGGACACATTGCGACAGGTCTTGCTGTGGCTCTACTTGCCACGGCCTAACCACTTTGGAGGGGTTTTGTGGAGGCACAGGAGCCCTGGCTTCCCTTCAAAACCCCCCTTCCTGCCGCCACCACACCCGGAAGCAGCCCGGTGACCACCAGGCAGTCCTCCCGCCAGGAGGGGCTTTCCAGTGCTCAGCCCAGAAGGGGAGAGACGGGGCATTAGCAGGAGCCTCCTGATGGCTGGACGTGGGCTGCGAGGAGCTAGGTCAGAGCTGCAGACCCCCGAGGCCGTCCCCTCAACACCAGGTGGCCTCCAGGGCAAGGGCCACCACGCGGTGTGGGTCCTCGGAGCCCAAATCCTGGCAGTTTGGCTACAACAAGTCAGCGAGGGAGGAGGCAGAAAAGCCAGTCCTCTGGGTCCACAGATCAGGCTTCTTTGGGCAGAAGAACCAGATCTCTAGGAGTAAGTCCCACTCCTCTGGGCTCCCCCTTGGCTACTGCCAGCTGTGGGATGTCCTGAGGGTACCCCACTCTCATGTCCCAGGTCCCCACCAAACTTCTCTTCAGAGAGCCGGTGGCTGGGGCTGTTGAGAGCCAGTCTGGCGGGCAGGGGTGTGTGAAAGAGAGGGGTAAAGCAGGGCTGGGTGGGGGAGGCTCTCCCTGTAGTAAGGTGCTGAGCCTACAGGGCACAGCCTTTTGTTTCTGACAAAGAAAATGACACACAATGGTCAATGCACCCCTGGTGGCCAGGGTCCCAGGACAGCCTGTGGTAGACACCTGCTCACTCCAAAGGGCCCGGATGCAGGAGGTGACAGCCCTGCATGAACTTCCTCTCCCAGCTCGCTGGGCCCCTCCTCCCAGGCTGGGCAGCCCCCAGGCTGACTCCTCTGTCAGGAAGAGGCTATTTCCCCTTTCACATCACACAGCTGCCTGAACCTGGCCGCCACTCACAGTGGCCAGGGCGATGGGGGGTTCCCGCTTCCTGCCTGACCACCCTGTGCCAATGTCCCTTGGGTCAGGATACGGGGTGGGGGTGGGAGAGGAATCACTTCTCACTTTACTATACCGCATAGCACCCCACCTCCTCAGGGGGAAGGTCCCTGAGAGGCCACCTGCATGTCTCCGGTGAGGGCACCCTGTGATTTCCAGAAGCTGTGGCTGCAGACTGTAAGTGCACCCCCCTGAGACACTCCAACCAGGGAGGGAGCTGCAGCCCAAAGATCCTGTGCCCAAGCTCACCCAGCCCTGGGCTAGGAGCGGCGGCACCCAGGAAATCATCCCAGGCCGCCCAGACAGAGCACCCAGGCACTGGCCGCTCCGGGAGAAGGAAATGACTCTGAAGAGCAAAGGGCCTGGACTCCCAGCAGGGCCTCGGAGGCCACATCCATCACTGAGGCTCAGCGGGAAGACACTGTGGCCAGCTCCGAGACCCAGGCTGACACATGCAACCACTGCAGACAGCACAACACCTTTCTTCTGGATAGTCACACAGCATGCACTCACCCGCTCAGAAACAAATGGGCAAGTTTCTGTATGTCCCATCGACCAGGCCCACTTTAGAACTGGTAGCTGGATCTGCCCTGACACCTTTCCCTCCTCCCAAATCAGAAGCCATGAAATGCTTCTCACTGTTGAGGGTTGGGGTGCCTTGGAGGTGAGCGAGTTTGGCTTCCCAGACAACTCCTCCTCCACTACCAAGGCCAAGGGTTGGCCTTGCTGTAAGGAACCCCTAAATCCTGAGCTCATTCCATTGGATTCATTCAAGTCTATTTCAGTCCAGCACAACAGGGAGGCTCGGGGAGGGAGGACAGCTGAGGGTGTGGGCAAGAAGCAGAAGCCTAGAGGTTGCAGATGGTTCCTGAACCGAACTATCGCTGTCTAATCCCAGCCCTGCCATTCATTGTCTGGCATCAAGCTCCCTAATGAGTCTGTGCCTCAGACACCTCGTTTGTAAAAGGGGCACCATAATAGAACCATAGTACCTAACTGGGATCCTCATGTCAAGGCCTCAAAACAGGCCCAGGCACACGGCAAAGCTCAGTTCCTGCTGTCACTGTCACTCCCGTGTGTGCCAACCACTGGCTCAAAGTCCAAACCTGTATTTCGCAGGAGCCCTAGGGCCAGGGCTGCAGTCAGAAGGCCTTCAGCAGCTGGCTCCGGGCTGCGTGGCCACTGAGCTTTTAGAAGTGGTGGCAGCCTAGAACATCAAGGTGAGATTCTTATGAGAGAGCACAAACTGTCCCTGGCTCTGGGATCCTTTTAGAAACAGCAGCCTTTTAACATACGGGTACCATCCTTTTAAAGGACGTTTCTCTACAGCGCCTGTAGAGTGGCTGCACCCTCCATCCTCGCTCCATTTGCTGGGTATGAATGATGTGTTCACTCGTTTCACATGCTTTTACTTCACCAGTTCTTCCGGACATCCTCGAAAAAGGATATTGCTATTATCCCCATTTTATAGCTGAGAAAATGGAGGCACAAGAGGAGCCTGCAGACAAAAGCCATCGTGGGAGAGCCAGGATTTTAACATGGTGCTGCCTCTGAGAGCAGAGCTCTCTCTCTTTGTCACACTACACGGCAGGGATGGCAGGAATCCCAGACTCAACAACCTGCAGGGACCACGCGGGTAACAAATGGGGAAGGCAGGCTGGGAGGGAGTGGTGGGGACTGTGGCCAATGGGGGAAGGGGGAACCACCCCTCAGCTCCAGCTGCCACTGCCATGTGTGACTGCCGATTCTCTGTGCCCAGATCTTCCTCTGAAAAGATGCCCAAAATCTGGATCTTCCTGTGAAATCTCCCAATTTTAAATTTTAGCTCAAGGGTCTTTTAAAACATTGTGCTGTCCCAACAAAACACCTCTTGGGCCCACCGTGGTGTGACCTCTGCAGAGAATGCCAGCTCCAAGGACGTGGCCAGTCAAGAGGGGCCAGTCCAGTGGTCAGTCCACTCTGCTGGCACGGTGGGATCCAACCATGGATGCCTCCCAGACTCTGGGGCTGCTTTCTCCTCTGAGCCAAAGCCAACGAGGAACCCCACACAGACTGGGTGGGTTTTCTCTCTGCAACACTTTTTTTCCTGTGGTTTGAGGAGGGGAAGTTTTGGATTTTCCCAATCTTCTAACAAAATTCCCGTGACACTACCATACTCCTATTGGCCAGGACACACACTCCCCCACCGACAACCGCTTCAGTCCTTCACTGGTATTTTTCCTACACATGACGGATGAACTCATTGATTTTTTTTTCTTCTTTTTTTAGTCTCTAGAACCATTCACATTCTTCTATAACATGGCTTAGACATAAACAAGATGGCTGGAGAGCTGTCTGCTAAACACCAACTTGTTCATGTGGCAGAAGTGTGTGGCTCTGGCCTCATGAGCTCATATGTTCTGTGTGATGAAGGACGTGGAAATGAACACCCAATAGCCAGTGTTGGTTTGAGGCTTTCGTTTGGCAGATGTTTTAGTGCAGCCTCTCACTTAATCTTCACCACCATCAACCCCAGGTGACAGGTGAGAAAACTGTGGCTCAGGTAGGCTCAAGGGACCTATTTAAGGACAGGTAGATAGGTGAGCAACCTGGAGCCAAGGATCATATCCTCTGACTCAATACTTTCTCTTCTAGGAATTTATCCCCAGGAGATAACCAGAGATGGACCCCCAAGTTTGCCATAGTGTTCATTTTAAGAATACATTATAGGACAAACTGTCTACTCATAGTGGATTAGCTAAATAAACGCTAAGTTAGTAAGAGGGCAACTGTGTAGCCCTTCAAAATCAATCCACATTTTATTTACTCAGGAAACATCAGGCAGTTGCTCAAATTCCAACCTCTGAATTCCCTTTTCCCAGAAGGCAACTTCTCATGGCTCTACCGTAACATGGTAAAAACAAAACAGGACTCTTGTCTCTGCCTAATCTACTTGAACTGCCACTCTGCCCAGCCCCTTCCTTCTCACCTGAGCCATCAGGGCTAACTTCTGGGTTCTGAACTCTGTCCCAAGAGCTTTTATCTGGGGAGTTCAAGCCTCTGCTTCTTTAGTTAACTTGACCATAGATGTTAGAGAGAAAAACCAGGCATGTGTTCCCACTGTACAATACGCAAAGCCTCCAGCAACCCCTTTCACTGAGCAAATACATGTAAATGCCTGTTCTGTGCTAGGCACACAGGAAACCTTGGGAAAACAAAGAGGAATGCAACACAGCCTCAGCCTTTGTGGGTGACACCACTGAAGACAGCCGTCATGGAGGACTTCTAGCTGTGCACAAAAAATTTATTTAATTTACTCCTCTCCATAGGCCCTTAAAAAATAAATTATATATATATTATTGCTTTGCGAGAGGAAGGAAGAGGGAGAGATAGAAACATCAATAATGAGAGAATCATTGTTTTTGGCTGCCTCTTGCTTAGCCTTCACTGGGATTAAGCCAGCAACTGGGCATGTGCCCTGACTGGGAATTGAACTGTGACCTCCTGGTTCATAGGTCAACACTCAACCACTGAGCCACTCCAGCTGGTTCTTTTTATATAAAAAGTTTTGTGTGTGTGTGTGTGTGTGTGTGTGTGTGTGTTTGTGTTTTTTTTTTTTTTTAATTATTGCTTTGTATAGAGAGAAGAAGGAGAGGGAGAGAAAAACATTGATGTGAGATTGGAACATCTATTGGATGCCTCCTGCATGACCCCCACCAGGGATCAAGCCCACAACCCCAGTATATGCCCTGACTTGGAATCGAACTGGCAACCTATTGGTGCATGGGACAACACCCAACCAAGCCACAGCAGCCAGGGCACAACTTTCTGTCCCCATCTAGTGTCCAGCACAGTAGATGGCCTGGAACCTGAGGGCCCAGTTCTACCACTTACTGCCTATGGGACCCTGAGTTCCGACTTGAGTTTTCATAGTTCCCATCTAGAAAATGGGCCTCAATCTGCATTTACTTCACAAGACTGTTGGGAAATTCAGTGACATAACACATGAGAACATTTTTTTCAATATGGGAAGCCCTGTATCCTCCTTAGTCATTCATTCTCTCTCTGCCCACAGTTCTCTGGTTTAGCAAATAAGACATCAATCCATATTAGTGTACCTGTCAATCTGCTGCCCTGCCCATAAAGCACAGGCATTTTTAAAAAGACAGAGGAGGGCCTCCAGAAAATGGGGCTGTGGGCCTCACAGAGCCACCTCAGCTGCAGCTGGGAGAAAGTTCTGGAAGGCACAACCTGCCTGCATTTTTAATCTTACCATGACAGCCCCCTACTCCACCAAGCAAAGTGTGGCTTTGCTCTCTCAACCTCAAGGTCACGAAAACCCAGATCTCCCACCCTGCCTCCAACACACACACACACACACACACACACACACACACACCCCTCACCTTGGGCAGGTCCATGGCCCCACGGATCCGCTGGGCCACCTTTTCTCCATCCGGATGGATCTTGGCCACGTGCTTCCACATCCTTTCCCAGGTGGCCTCGTCCACAGGCAGTCCACCCCGGTTGACATAGAAGGGGACGCCTCCATCTCGCAGGTCCTCTTCCCCTTCCTCCTCTGGCTCATCCTCTCTCTGGGCTGATGCCCCTTCCCTGGTCTCCAACCGCCTGGCCCCAGGGGAGGCAGCGGGGGCAGCGGTGGGGGCAGCACTGCCCCCTATCACCTTCTTCCCTCCTGGCATCCCCAAATCCTTGACAGGGGCCCAGGGGCCGGAAGGAAGGAGGTTTCAGAAGGCAGGGAAACACTGGTGGCTACAGGCGGCCTCCCACACACCAGCTGCAGAGATAACACATGGCCAAACAGAGCACAGGCGCCTTTAAGAAACCAGGGCGTGGCTCCCGTACAATAAAATACTACTCAATAAGAAAATAATCAGTGCCTCAGCGTGCAGTGGGGGACAGGAGGGGTTAGTGATCCGGGCTCATCCTAAAAGGCCTTGAACTCTCTGAAAAAAAAAAAAGGAAAAAAAAAAAACCGACAAAAACGGGATAAAGAGGGAACACCCCAACTTGGCAGCTTTCAGAAAGCACCCCAATGTGACAGTGAGAAAAATGACTGGCAGCCGTCTGGGCTTTCAGAGAGAACAGTCCGGGGAGGGGGGCGGAGGAGGAGGGGGGGCTGAGGCCCGGCAGCTCAGACCTGCGGCCGTGGAGAGGGCCGAGGCACGGATGCCCAGGCCGGCTGGGCCCCCAGGGTTCTGGTTGTGGAGAGAACAAAGTCCTCGGCAAAATACCGCACGCTCACACCTGCGCGCGCTCCTGGGCTGGGGGGTACCGAGGCGACTTCAGGCCGCATCAGCTCTGAGCCCGGACCCCCAAAACCCCGTCCGGGGCCGGAAAGGGGGTCGAGGGGGCGCGATTTCTTCACCGGGACCCGTCCGGGAGCCAAGACTCGCAGCCGGCGGGGTGCGGGGAGGGGGCCCGCGCCGACGCGCACATCCCACGCCCGCAGCCAGCTCCCCGCACAGAGCGGGCTTTGTCTCCGCCCTGTCCCCTCGCTCCCCGGACGCGGCAGCGGAGCCCCCAGAAGGGGGAAGGGCGAGGCGGGGCGGATCCGCAGCCGGGCACGTCTCAGCGGGCGGAGAGCGGGCACCCGGCGCGGCGCGGCGCCAGCCCGGCCATCGCGGGGCGCGGGTCCCTCCCCGGGGCGCGGGGGTCAGCGGCGGTGCCCCGTGCGGCGCGCAGGGGCCAGGCTGGAGTCACCGCGCTGCAGGCTCCGGCTGCCGGGTCGCCGCCCCCGACTGGCTGCAGCATGGGCGGCGGCGCGGCCAGGGCGGGCCGGGGATGATGCTTCGGGGCGGTTCGCCCGCTCGGGCTCCTGCGGCCCCGGCTGAGGAGGTGGAGAAAGGATCCGCGGGGCGGGGGAGCCAGTCTCCGGCCGGCGAGCGGAGCTGATGCGAGTGGTAAAGCCTGGGCGAGCGCGAGCTGCGCTGGTCCCCGGAGAGCAGCCCCCAGAGCATGCACAGGCGGAGCCGGGCCGCTGTGGTTCCCGCCGCCCCAGGGCCCGGCTGTCGCCCGCCTCATACCCTCTCGCCACCCTCCCCCCCCCCTCCAGCCCTCCCACCGCCCACCCGGCTGGGCTCCGGCCCGCGCAGCGCATGCGCTCTGTCCCCCCCTTAAAGGGACAGCGCGTCCCGAGGGTCCGGTGCCTCCCGCTCCGAGTTGCCTCTAGGACGCGGGTGAGCGAGTTGCCTCTAGGACGCGGGTGAGCGTTGGCTCCCCTGGCACCCCTCTCTCCCGGCTGGTGCGGAGCTGCGGAGGAAGTTTACAATAAGCCAAACGGTGCAGACCCCCGGGCGGTTCCGGGCTCGGAAGGTCCGCGGTCGGGAATGTCCTAAGGGGAGCACCTCGCGGGGGACCCTCAGTCCTGGGGTAGAAGCCAGGGCATGGCCTGGAAGACCGGGGTTCTAGACCGGACTCAACGTCTGTTTTCCTGCGGGATATCTAACAGGTCACGTCCCTCTGGGGGCCTCAGTTGACATAGAAGGGACCTAAGGTCATCAAGCTGGGTGAGCATGAAGCCCCAAGGGCGCGCACGTTCCTAAAAGGTGGATGGATAGCTGGGGGATAGGGTCACTCTCTGGAAGCTAAAGGGTTAAAATCACAGTTGCACCCCAAAACCTGCCCCCTCGGGAACATGGTGCCCAGGGTTCTCTTCTAGCCCACCTCCCTGGACAGGGCTCTGGGTATCCCCCCACCCCACCCCACCCCACAGGAAGCAAGCTGCACCCTCCAGTCCTGGGACTGCAACCCATGGGAAGGTTTGGGGATGGTCAGCCTGCAACCCATGGGAAGGTTTGGGGATGGTCAGCCGTCCCAGAAGAAGGTGTAGTGGCGCCCATGTGTTGATTGGGCTCAGGAATGCAGAGGCCCAATGCCCCCACCCCCTCCTCACAGATGTAACTCGGAAAAGCCACGGGAACTTCACTAAGTTGAAGCAGCCAGACTGCTTTAAAACTCCTCCCCACTCTCCCACCATGTTTAAGTGTGTATAACAGGATCATGGGGTCAATGTGGACCCCTGGGCGCCTGCAGGCAGACTCGGCTTCCTGGGTCTGAGGTGGTGGCATTTCTCACCATCCCCTTATCTGATAAACACAAGTTTCCACACCTGGGCTGGGACAGACAAGGCCTTGGAGAATCTGAGGTCCTCAGTGGTTCCCCATCTGTTTCTTAAAGTTGTTCCTGGTGTTCAAACTTCATAGGTCCGGGAAGCTCTAAAAGCAGCCTCTTGATGCCTCCAGAAATCAAGGGTGATCAGTGAAGGGTCACAGGACTTCCAGAAAGCTAATTAAGGGGAGGGAGTCCTTTAAAAAAATTTTAAAAATCAATTTTAGGAATGGAAAAGGAGAGATAGATAGAAACATCAATGATGGGAGTTCCTGAATGCCCCCTACTGGGGATGGAGCCCACAACCTGTACATGTGTCCTGACCAGAAACCAAACTGTGACCTCCTGGTTCATAGGTCCACATTCAACTCCTGGGCCACACCAGCCAGGCAAGGCAGGGGTGTAGGTGTTCCTCTTAAGCTCATTGAGGCAAGAATACTCCATGCAGGTAAAAAACCACTAGGGACCACTGATTGCAGCATGCTAATTGTATAGATGGGGACACTCAGTCTCAGAGAGTGATTTTCCCTAGATCACACAACTAACAACTTGAACTGAAGTCTTCACTTATTCAGACACTAGCTCTGTACCAGCCCTGGGGACACAGCCGTGAACAAGAGAGATATGGTCTTTGTTTTACTAGGTCTTACGGTCTGCTAGTGGAGGAGACGGTTAAACACAATTCCAATAAAGTGCTTTGACAAAGACTTAGTACACGAAGCTATGGGAGTACTTGCCCAGGGAAACTCCCTGCTCATGTGGTTTGCTGGGGAAAGAAGAAATGAGTTGCATACAAGGCAAGCATGGTCTAAGCTAGAAAGCTGTCTTCATAGAAATGGGAGTGAATCAGAGTCAGACAAGGTGAAACTGGGAAGGGATGTATCTAGCTCAATCTCAAAAGCCCAGAGAAGACTAGTGTCTTGCCTGGCATCACACAGCTTGTGAATTGAGTCCAGATACTAGGTCCTGCATCATACTCTACCATGATTCTCCCACCCTCACACCCAGAACAACACCTCTAACAGACACTTGGGTAACTCCTTGTTGGCTCTAAGCTCTTAGGATCCTTGCCTGTCTTCACAAGAACCCTGGAAGAAATGAGGAGAAGTTAATTCCCGTTTTAAAGGTGAAGAAATGATGCACAGGAAGTGAGGCACTATGAGCACCTAGTCCAGGAGCTAGCACGTCAGAGCTGCTCTGTACAGTGACTTGGGCGATGACAGGGATGGTGATGCTAACGATGCTCGCTCATCACCTGTCACGGTGGTTATCTTCAAGCTTGGACTAAGACTGATGTTCTGGAAGCTAACACAGTGTCTCCGGGCATCAACGTCTGTATTAATCTGCTCCAACTCATTTTCTAGTCTTACAAGACTGCAGCTAGAATCAAGTTCCCAGAGAGAAGAGTCTGGCTGACGTAGCTTGGGTCCTGGGCCCACCCCTTGGCTGGAGAAGGGCAAAGCACCTTCACAAGCTGCCCTCCAAAGACTACTCTCCAGTGGGGGCAAGGGGCTTTCTTAAATGCAAATGGGCACAGTTAGTAAAAGAGGGGCACGGGGGTATACACATAGAGATGTGTTTGTCAAAGGTAGACACCGTGTCGGCACTGTCCAATGGGGCAGCCAGAGTCATAGGTGGCTACTTAACTGGAATCAACATGAAATAAAATTAAAAATGCAGCTCCCCAATCACACTAGCCACATTTCGAGCAGTCAAGAGCCACCCATGGCTACTGTATTGACAGCATAGACTATAGAGCATTTCCATCATTGCAGGGATTTCTATCTGCTCTGAGATTCTTACTTAGAATTCAATTCTTCTCTTGCCTCAGACACTGGGAAGGTGGAAATAGCAAAAGAGGTGAGTCAGAATCTTTATTCATTTATTAACACATATAATAAATATATACCCTGACTCAAACACTGTTGTAGGCACCAGGATCCCTGGAAGGGATGTTGGAGAACTCCTGTCCAGTGCATCTTGCAGTAGAATCATCTTAAAAGCACTGATACCCAGGCCCCACCCAGCAGAGATCCCGGTGAGATTGGTTTGGGGTGGGGCTTGCTCACGCAGGGTTTGGAAAGCTCCCAGGTGATGCTACTATGCAGCCAGGCTTGAAAACCACCACCGTCTGGTCGGACCGGTGAAGTGATTGGCCTCAGATAACCTGCAGATCCGAATCCAGGTGGGTCTCACCTCTGCTTTGGGGTTCTTGTGACATCATCAGTGTTCTCTGTGGGCTCAGCACCTGTGTGAATGGAGGCACAATTCTTAGGGAAGAACACGTCTATTCTCCCTTAATCCACAGGGAATCCAATCTACTGAGAATAAAGCGCCCAAAGAACTGCTGGTGTAAATTGCTTCTTTCTCAAACGGGGTGTTTCAGGCCTGGAACTGCACTCTTCAGCCAAGTGGGTGAAATGCCTTTAAAAATAGTGCCCTTTCTGAGCAGGCCAGGCACGTCACATGCAGCTTTGTGTAAGCGCCGCAACACTCTTAGGAGACGAATTTGGCTGACACCACTTTACAGATGAGCACACCGGCATGCAGAGGGGTTAGGGACTCTAATTGC